TATATATTCATATATATGTCATTCAAATGTATATATCCAAAAAAATATTTTAAATATTAACTCAAAAAATATTAATATTATCTAAACTAAATTTAGGTGAAAACTGAAAAATTAGAAAAAAAGAAAATAGATAATTAGTAAACAAGTTTTCTAAACAGAAAACAAAGAAGGGGAAATAGAGAATGAAAACTGAAAAATTAGAAAACATAAAATAGATAATAGTTTGGTAAACGGACCCTTGTGTTTTGCTTTACTGTTCCTCCATATGAAAATAAAAAATTTATATAGACAACCCTTTGAGACAAAAATCTATACTATATATAAAAACAAAATCCTGAAATTTTAACTTTCCGCCTAATTCCTAAAAAATCTCTCTTCCGAAAAAATATATAGATTTCTACTTTCCCATTCGTACAATAATTCTGCGTTAAAATTCTATTCTAATATTATAAAATAGTGTAATACAATATATATTATATATAAAAACAAAATCCTGAAATTTTAACTTCCCGCCCAATTCCTAAAAAATCTCTCTTCCTATAAAATATATTGATTTCTACTTTCTCTTTCGTACAATAATTCTGCGTTAAAATTCTATTCTAATATTATAAAATAGTGTAATAGAATCTATACTATATATAATAACAAAATCCTGAAATTTTAACTTCCCGCCCAATTCTTAAAAAATCTCTCTTCCTATAAAATATATTGAACTTTACTTTCTCATTCGTACAATAATTCTGCGTTAAAATTCTATTCTAATATTATAAAATAGTGTAATAGAATCTATACTATATATAAAAACAAAATCCTGAAATTTTAACTTCCCTCCCAATTCCTAAAAAATCTCTCTTCCTATAAAATATATTGATTTCTACTTTCTCATTCGTACAATAATTCTGCGTTAAAATTCTATTCTAATATTATAAAATAGTGTAATACAATCTATCTATACTATCTATACTATATATAAAAACAAAATCCTGAAATTTCAACTTCCCGCCCAATTCCTAAAAAATCTCTCTTCCTAATAAAATATATTGATTTCTACTTTCCCATTCGTACAATAATTCTGCGTTAAAATTTTATTGTAATATTATAAAATTGTGTAATACTATTCCTATTCTAATCTATATCTATTTTATATATCAGTGTTGCAAAAATCGTGCCGCTGGCCGCGGCGAGGAAGGCCGGAATCGGCCTCCTCAGCGGCCGCCTCGCCGGCTGAACCGGTCTTTAATTTTTATTTTTATTTTTTAAGTTGTAAAGTGTCAAAAGTTCGGCAAGACATAACTTTTGACTCCGTTGTCCGTTTTGGACAAATGTTTTTTGAAATCACGTATTTTTTCGAGATCTATCCACCGCAAACTGCCGTAGGTGGTTTGGCCCACCAATTTCTAAAAAAAAAATACTTTATTAAAGAGTTTCTAAGAAAAAACTATGAGAACCTTATGTTTTATTAATGAATTTTTGAAATTTTTAATTAAACAATTGTCCCGTGCATTATTTAATAATCTTTCTTTATAATTGGTTAAATTATTTAATTATGGTAAATTTGGGAATAATTAATGATGGTAATAGAAATCCTAGAAGAATATAGAATTGAACAATATTTAATTATTGTTATATTATTATTGTGACTCACGGAATACAAGAGTTAATGTCATTTTTGGTCCTAGACTTATTGGGGCATTGACAGTTTTCATCCTCCATAATAAAAATTGCCACTTAGTAGCCACTGTTATTAATCGTTTGACAGTTTTGATCCTCCGTCAATGACGCCGTTTGTTGACCGTGAATTAGAAGGGTTTTTTCTGTCTTTTTATGTTCTAATCCTTGTATTTCTCCATCCATTGGTCACTGCTACATCCATTTCTTCAATCTGAGGTTATCCGCTTCAGTCCTTTCTAACATTAAGAAACCATCTTCACCCAACTAACAATCACGAATTTTACATTTGACATCAATCTCAAGATAATAGAAACAAGTGCAGTTGGAATAGAAAGGGCGTTAGTCCATGCCTGTGGAAATTTTGTCGAGCATACAACATAACTAGCAAAGTCAGGAATATCACCCAACCCCTCCCTTAACCTTTCTGCATCAACTATAATAGGTATGCCCCTACTCTTTGCCTCCTGCACTACAATCAAAGCAGTCTCATGCAGCCTTCCATCTAAATAGACAATATTTACTCTAAGCGCTGAAGACAATTTTGATTTGGGTATGTAGACTCTCAGATATCATGGGTGGATATCCTGGAGTGAAAATACACGTGCGAGTTTTTTTTTTTTTTTTTTTGGTTGTAAACAATGACATATGTGAATGGTGAGTTTCCTCCTTTGGACACCACCATAAAAGATGTATCAACATCATCCCTTTCAAGCTCATCAAGTATTCTTTCGCCATGCGAGTCATCAGCAACCTTAGATATGATCCTTGGATTAAGACCAAGACGAATTTTATCATCCGGGTTTTATCAAAGCATTGCCAGTGTTACCACCTCCTTGAACCTCAAAGCTGGTGCTCCGAATTTTATCATCCGGGTTGGGGAATGAAGCTACAGCAGCCAGGAAGTCAACACCGGTCATTCCAACACCTCAGACAATGCGATTTTTGGGGAGCGGCGGATTCCACATTTTCAACTTGAAACTTCAATGAATTTCAGGTAGAATAACAAAGTTTTTGAGGTTGTGCACCAAGTAGTTGTGGTCAGAGAGAGAGAGAGAGAGATGGGAAGGATATTTGTGGTCAATATGGAAGGGAGGACTTACAGGTGCAAATTCTACATCACGCCATCTACAACTACAACTGCTATTTACCATAGGAGGGTTCGCCGACCTGCTGCCCTCTCTGCTTCGCCGGAACCAAAAACCACCGGTGAAGGCCCCAACCTTGCCGGATCTGTTGCTGCACCGTCAGATCTGCCTTACTGGTCCGTCGCCGGAAGGAGTTACTGCCTCGTATGCTCGCCGCCGTACCCACAACTCGCCGGAGAAGAACCTCGCTGCTACTCACTACCGACGGTTACTACTTAGCCTCCAAGTCTCGCCATCTCGCCTCACAGGAGTCACATCAGCACTGGTCTAAACAAGATTAGAAGAATAAGACATAAAAAGACAAAAAAAAACCCTTCTAATTCACGGTCAACAAACGACTTCATTGACGGAGGATCAAAACTGTCCAACGACCAATAACAGTGTCTACTAAGTAACAATTTTTATTATGGAGGATGAAAAGTGTCAATGCCTCAATAAGTTTAGGACCAAAAATGGCATTAACTCCGGAATACAATACAAGAATATTTAATTATGGTTATATTATTATTGTGCCTCACGACCATTATATACTAACAGTACTTGAAAAGAAACTAATAATAATAATAATATAATAATAATATAAGTGGTAATAATAATATCTAAAAATAATTAAGTGTTAATAATAATAGTAAGAATATTAACGTAAGAGTTGTAACATAGAATAAATTGTAATAATTAATAACTATAGTCTAGGATTAAATTTGAAATTGTCAGGAAAGATAAACGACCTCTGGTGAAATTAACTCTTAAATAATTATATATCGATTTAAATATTCTTAATATATTATAATAATTTTTCATTTCGTGCATCGCACGGGTGAAAATACTAGTTATGTGTAAAAGGGGAATAGTTATGCTGTGCATCTGTATGCACCATGCATGGTGCATACAGATGCAAAAACGACGTCGTTTTATTAAAAACGCGCGTCTCCCCTTTAAAAAAAAAATTCAGGTTCGATTCCTAGTAACAACATTATTTTGTTCATTCATTATGGAATTTTAGTTCATGGATTATGGAACTATAGTTCATCGATTATGGAACTATAGTTCATCGATTCTGGAATTATAGTTCATCGATTCTGAAATTTTAGTTCATAGATTCTGGAATTTTAGTTCATTCATTCTGAAAATTTTAGTTCATAGATTAGATTATGGAATTATAGTTCATCGATTATGGAATTATAGTTCATCGATTATGGAATTATAGTTTCGAACCTAATTTTTTTTTTTTAAGGGGAGACGCGCGTTTTATAAAAACGACGTCGTTTTTGCATCCGTATGCACCATGCTTGGTGCATACGGATGCACAGCATAATTTGCCTGTAAAAGGGAATTGTCTCATTCAAAATCCTGGTTGAGTACGTCTTGCTTGGTTAAGGGACCGGCGACAGCTGTAATTGCATATAGAATGTGGAAAGAATTCAAAGAAGCGTGACTCAATTCCTATATGGAAAGATGGAAGATTAAGATAAAGCGAAAGTCAACAACTAAAAATGTATTTTAAATAAACTCCGGTCAAAACTAGGTTGAAATATTTATACTAGTTGTTATTTGTAGGGGCGTTTACATAATATGAAGAATTGGTAAATGGAGGCTCAAAATGAGTGGTCGTAGCATAATTCTTAAAAGATCACGAATTTAAGTTTTGTTCAAAATAGGTGTTATTCTACGTGAAACTGTGAAAGATGAGTTAAGGTAAACGATGTGTTGGAGCTTTGGAATGAATGTGGTGTATGTGCACTACGACGTCATGTAATGGATGTTTAGGTCTATCATTAATGCATCACTATTTTTTTTTTCTTCTTCTTTTAAAAGGTTGAATTTCTATCTCTAAAAGTTTCCCATACCTCGTCTAAATGTTTACTTCTCAATCATCATGTCCATGTAATTAAAAGGAACTGATAATCTTGCACTATGTTTATGGTAATCAAATCTCGTTATTGTCATAAATCATGATTTTGAAGCCAATCTGCTATCTCAACAAATAAAATATATACTATTCTTGGCAGAGATAATTATAAGAGGTAATGACAATGTCAATTTCAGTTTGTAATTCTTTTTTGGGTGACAAAAAGAATTTACAATCACTATTCCGAGAATGTGCATAGGCTAAATCATGTATTATAATCCTAGCCAGACTACAATAAACTAGTTCCGACTCAAATCAAGAAAATTGAGATTCGAACTTGTAACCTTGTGATTATAAGTTAGTATCCTTAGTTATCTTGGCTAAGGTTATTCATCCAGTTGCAATTCCCATTACAACATTGGATGGGTACAACTAGATTCTGCAGTCATTTGGCAACAGTCTCAGAAACAAACATCTTGAGTACAAAAATGAAAAACAAAAACATAAATAGAAACATTTCTCAAATGTGAAGTGGATCTGATGTTTGGATTACTGTTGTTTCATCTTCACATTCCAGAAGAGTTTGCACCACAGAAGCCATTGTAGGCCTCATGTTTCTATCTTCCTCCACACACGCAACACCAACCTTGATCAGTGTCTTTGCCTGCCTTCTACTCAACTTCCCTTCCAGTCTTCTATCCACTATATCCTCCACCCAACTCTCATCTTCTAATTCAACTTTTCTCTTCATTGCCCACAAAAGTTGCCTTAAATCTGGTGCTTCATGCTGAAGCTCACATTCTTCGGCTGCCCAGCTCGATAGCCTACTTCCCTTCACCATCTCCAGGATCACAACACCATAACCATACACATCTACTTTGGAAGTGATGGGCTGGTTCAGACCCCACTCTGGAGCCATATACCCCTTTGTTCCGCGGATTTTGGTGAAATATGAACCGGGGTCACCTCTTTTATAGAGCTTGGCTAGCCCAAAATCTGCAATCTTGGGCTCGAGTTCACCAGTTAGAAGTATATTTTCAGGTTTCACATCACAATGGATCACCCATTCCAGGCACTCATGGTGAAGGTATGCAAGCCCTTTAGCTGTGCCTAATGCCACTTCAAACCTTTCATTCCACCCAAGAAAATTTGAGGTGTAAATATGCTTGTCTAAAGAAGAATTTTCTACATATTCATAGACCAGAAGACGGTGTTTCCCTTCTGCACAGAATCCCCACATTCTCACCAAATTCATATGGTTGATTTTTCCAATTGTGGTCATCTCTGCCCAGAGCTGTTCTTCTCCATGAAACTCATTTCCAAGTTTCTTCACTGCCACCACTCTATCGTCTGCCAAAACACCTTTGTAAACAGCCCCTGAGCCTCCTCTTCCTAGCTCCACCTTGAAATTCTTGGTTGCCGTCTTAAGTTCTGCATAAGTGAACATCCTGAACTGACTCGATAACATATGATATCCATTCTCAAGTGAAGCTGGAATCCCATCCTTGCTGAATAAAGCCCACCATCCCAAAGCAAAAACAAGAAGCTCAATCACACCAACAGCGGAACAAAATGAGTACAGATAAACCCATCCCACCTTTTTACTATTCACGACTACAACTTCGGATGCATTTGAACACACCAAGTTAGAGCGAGTGAGAATCACTGGATGACCTGATTTTTCTGGCACTGGAAAGTCTTGGGGGAGCTTCAGAAATATACTTGTAGGAGAATCTGGAGATCTGTAGCCATTGTAAAGGGTGCCTTTGGTGAAACATGATGCCTCTCCATTTCGCCTGTAGGCAAAAGCCATACAATTATGATCCTTTAAGCACAAATTCTTGCAGTCTTCCAGTGAAGAAGGCACAGAGAAGTTGAGATCAAATCCCCAGTACTCCACCTGAGCAATCTCCAAGAACTTGACAGGCTGAGTTATTAAACTTGTTACATTGAACAATGCCTTGCAGCCGCTACCCCAATCATCTGGATCAACCACCACATAGCCTGGAGGACATGAACATTTGGGCTCTGGTGCATAATTACAAATACCATTTCTTCCACAGATTCCATGTACGCCACACGCCTGTAGAAGAGCTTGCCAGGTTACCTTCCACAGCCCAGTTGAATCTTGCAGGCTGTAGATTCGGAGATTCCCATCAACATCCAATGTCATTCTCCTCTTGATCTGATCACCCGTGTCAATAGCACTGAAATACAAAATTTGCACCTGCCTATCACTAGAGAAAAACCTTCCAGAATTATCAATGAAAGCAATTCTAGTACTGTTTTGGCTGGTTCTCTGATTCCCATCAACATTAAAATCAGGGCTAGGCCAATAAAAATCAGAAACCTCTGGGCCATCGTATATCAGCTTTAGCACGTTATCACCATCAAAGTATAAACTGAAGTAGCCTGGTTCAAACCCCCCTTCCCTTAACACAGAGATGAGTCTATTATTCTTTGTGAACACCTGGGAAGGCAACAAAGTATCGGTGGGAAACCCGAAGCTCTGCCAGAGAACACCACCCTCTGGATTCTTGAGAACAAGATTGCCTGTATCAAGCAGCTCAGCTGTGTTAACTCTAGTTGAAGTTGTATTACTGTTCCACACGATAGCGCCATCTGCATCTGTCAATGTTAAAGCTCCATTCATTCCCAGTGTCACCTTTGAGCCCCAGCTTTTGACAGGCCTGGCCCGATTGGCCACCCAAACAACAGTTTTATCCCTGGAATTTGTGAACCATATGGCAAACCAGTAAGCATTGGTTCCCAGTCCATAGAAGCCACAGGTGAATGTGTTGTCTGGGGAGGTTAGAAAAGTTGAGTCTGCATCTTCAACGGATAGAGAACGTCCCCAATCCAGCTGAAACAGAGGATTAGCTTCTGAAGTTGCACAAGAAAGGAGGATGAAGGAGAAAAGTAGGGAACTCAAACCATGGTAGTTAACCATGGCGGAAAGGGATAGATGAGTTTTGAATAATATGTTGGAAGATAACAAATTAATATAGATTTATATAATTAATTAAAGTTCCATCCAGTAAGAAAAGTATTCATTCATTCTCCTTGTCCTAATTTCCAGAAGATCAGTGTGGACTGTGGATTATCAAAGTCTAATCTTCCAAGTCTTAATCAAAGCATGCATGAGGAGAATCCAAGGAAATAAGAAATTAAAGAAAGAAAGACGACTATTCAACACATAGAAACGTGATGATGACGAATGGGCCTCATAGCAACTTCTTGGATCCTATCTACTCACTAAATGACTAGCAACAAGTGTAGTAGTATTTCTCAGAAACAAGACAGTGGCATAATGTATCCAAGATAATATATTCTTTTCCCCGCTCATGCTATTCTCACTTACCATCTTTGGTTATACACTCAGCTTTTTGTTTGTTTGTTTATGTTTTTTTTTTTTTTCTTTTGCAACCAAATAAACATTAGATTAACTCAAATCCAAAGATGACCTATTACAAATGATAGGAAGAGGGTTCGAAAACCACTTCATACAATCTAGCATAGAAAAAGACTGCCTAGCTAACTGATAGACGGCCTAATTCACAGACTGCTTAGCAAAGACTAAACGAATTTGAGTAAACATACTCATCATCAAGTTTTTGATTTCCTGTCGCACTAATTTGAGGAATTAAGATATATATTGCTAGTAATTATCTAACATTCAGAACTTGTCAGCCTTGTTAGGATCAAACGTTTACAACTAGATCAAAAAAAATATAGCCATTAGTCAATGTGCGATTTTATTTCTTTATACTTGCTTAATAGTCAGCGACTTTCAATAACAGCATATATTAAACTTGCCTCTCCAACTAGTCACTCAACCGTACCGCAAATGTTTGCTATATTTTTATATCATTTTTCTCTATATTTGACTACTTGAGCTTAACTCGGGTAATTAATTGTTAGTCCGTAATTTATATTGTTTTATTTAATTCAAAATGATGCATTGCATGATGAATGGATTGGCTAGCTTAATTGCAATTGCTGACTCTAATTTGTTACCATTGACCAATTATATAATTTCAACAATGATGTTCTTAGAGAGTTGGCCGCCGGGGGCTTGGAAATTAGAAATTTGCATGGAATATAATAGGAAGAAAAAGAATGACAACATCATGCAGAATAATATTATTACGAGTATATGTCTACCCCAACCTACCACTACATCTTTTATCTTCTTATACCTATCTATTAATTAATTATTATGACTAGATTCATTATTATGTTGTCATATATAGTGATTTTGAACTTAAGGTGCTATTTTAAAAAATAAAACATAAGAATATGGTTATTTTGCAACCGTCAATGGCCTTGTGGTCTAGTGACACCAAGTTGCTGTCTCATATGAGAGGGTGTGGATTCACGCCTCAGTGTATGCGATATTGACTATTTGTGTTCCTGTTTGAAATTCTTATTACAACATACAGCTAGAATCTGCAGTTATTTGCCAACAAAGGCTCAGAAACATATTTTGAGTACGAAAATGAAAAACAAAAGTAGAAACATTTCTCAAATGTAAAGTGGATCTGATGTTTGGATTGTTGTTTCATCTTCACACTCCAGAAGAGTTCGTACCACAGAAGCCATTGTAGGCCTCATGTTTCTATCTTCCTCCACACATGCAACTCCAACTTTGATCAGTGTCCTTGCCTGCCTTCTGCTGAAATTCCCTTCCAGTCTTTTATCCACTATATCCTCTACCCAACTCTCATCTCTTAATTCAACTTTGCTCTTCATTGCCCACAAAAATTGCTTTAAATCTACTGCTTCCTCATGAAGCTCACTTTCTTCGGCTGCCCAGCTCGATAGCCTACTACCCTTCACCATCTCCAGGATCACAACACCATAACCATACACATCTACTTTGGAAGTGATGGGCTGGTTCAGAGCCCACTCTGGAGCCATGTACCCTTTTGTTCCTCGGATTTTGGTGAAATATGAACCAGGTTCACCTCTTTGAGAGAGCTTGGCTAGCCCAAAATCTGCAATCTTGGGCTCGAGTTCACCAGTTAGAAGTATATTTTCAGGTTTCACGTCGCAATGGATCACCCATTCCAGGCACTCATGGTGAAGATATGCAAGACCTTTGGCAGTCCCTAATGCTACCTCAAACCTTTCTTTCCAGCCAAGAGAATTTGAGGTGTAAATATGCTTGTCTAAAGAAGAATTTTCTACATATTCATAGACCAGAAGGCGGTGTTTCCCTTCTGCACAGAATCCCCACATTCTCACCAAATTCATATGGTTGATCTTTCCAATTGTGGTCATCTCTGCCCAGAATTGTTCTTCTCCATGAAACTCATCTCCAAGTTTCTTCACTGCCACCGCTCTATCATCTGCCAAAACACCTTTGTAAACAGCCCCTGAGCCTCCCCTTCCTAGCTCCACCTTGAAATTCTTGGTTGCCTTCTTCAGTTCTGCATAAGTGAACATCCTGAACTGACTGGATAACATGCAATATCCATTCTCAAGTGAAGCTGGAATCCCATGCTTGCTGAATAAAGCCCACCATCCCAAAGCAAAAACAAGAATCTCAATCACACCAACAGCTGAACAAAATGAGTACAGATAAACCCATCTCACCTTTTTACTACTCACTTCATACTTCAAAGGTAGTTGTTTTGATGAATTTGAACATACGAAGTTAGAGCGAGTGAGAATCATGGGATGGCCTGATTCTGGGACTGGAAAATCTCGGGGGAGTTTCAGGAATATACTCCCAGGGAAATCTGGAGATCTGTAGCCATTGTAAAGGGTGTTTTTGGTGTAACATGATGCCTCTCCATTTCGCCTGTAGGCAAAAGCCATACAATTATGATCCTTTAAGCACAAATTCTTGCAGTCTTCCAGCGAAAATGGTTTAGTGAAGTTGAGATCAAATCCCCAGTAATCCATCTGAGAAATCTCCAAGAACTTGACAGGCTGAGTTACTAAACTTGTTATATTAAACAATGCCTTGCAGCCTCTACTCCAATCATTTGGATTAACCACCACATACCCTGGAGGACATGAACATTTGGGCTCTGGTGCATAATAACAAACACCATTTCTTCCACAGATTCCATGGACCTTGCACGGGCGAGGAAGAGCTTGCCAGGTTACCTTCCACAACCCAGTTGAATCTTGCAGGCTGTAGATCCTGAGATTCCCATCAACATCCAATGTCATCCTCCTCTTAATCATCTCATCACCCGCGTCACTAGCATTTAAATATAAAATCTGCACCTGCCTATCACTGGAGAAAAACCTTCCTGAAGTATCAAGAAAAGCAATCCTAGTACTGTTTTGGCTGGTTCTCTGATTCCCATAAGGATCAAGATCAGGGTTTGGCCAATATAAACCAGAAACCTCTGGGCCGTCGTATATCAGCTTTAGCACGTTGTCACCATCAAAGTATAAACTGAAGTAGCCTGGATCAAACCCCCCTTCCCTTAACACAGAGATGAGTCTATTATTCTTGGTGAACACCTGGGAAGGCAGCAAAGTATGAGTAGGAAACCCGAAACTTTGCCAGAGAACATCACCCTGTGGATTCTTGAGAACAAGATTGCCTGTATCAAGCAGCTCAGCTGTGTTAACTCTAGTTGAAGTTGTATTACTCTCCCACACGATCGCACCATCCACATCAGTCAATGTTAAAGCTCCATTTTTCTCGAGCTTCACCTTTGAGCCCTGGCTATTGACAGGCCTGGCTCGATTCGCCACCCAAACAACAGTTTTGTCCCTGGAATTGGTGAACCATATGGCAAACCAGTAAGCATTGGTTCCCAGTCCATAGAAGCCACAGGTGAATGTGTTGTCTGGGGAGGTTAGAAAAGTTGAGCCTGCATCTTCAACGGATAGAGAATGACCCCTTTCCAGTTGAAGCAGAATCTTAGCTTCGGAATGAAAAGAAAGGAGGATGAAGGAGAAAAGTAGAGAGGTGAAACCATGGTGGTTAACCATGGCGGAATGAAATAGATGAATTTAGAATATGTTGGAACTTGGAAGATAAGAAATTGCTACAGCTTTATATAATACCTTGAGAGCTCTGACATTAAAGTTCAATTCCATCCAGTATTAATTCTCCAATGCATAATTTCCAGAAGATCAGATCAAATCTTCCAAGTCTTAATCAAAGAATGAGTACAATAAGGAATGACTATTCAACAGAAAGAAACGTGATGATGAGGGTACTGGGAAGGGCCTAAAAGCAACGTCTTGGATCCTTGCCACTCACTAAATGACTAGCAACAAGTGTATAGTAGTTTCTCTCATGAAAAGGATGGTAGCCAAACCGCAGCCTAATGTATCCAAAATTATATATTCTTCAACACTCCCCGGCGGCAATGTGACCAAGTTTTTTGCCAACTCTATTAGTGTTGTCTGATCTAGATTTATTTAGTATACTAGTATTTTATATGCGCGATACGCAAAAAAATAGGTGTCCAATATTAATACATTATATTAAAATTTTAAACTTATTTAGATTTTAGATATTTAAATTATTCTTAATAATAATAATAATAATAATAATGTAAATCATTTTTATAAATTGGAATAAGGGTCAAATAGGCCATCGAACTGCACAAGATAATGCAATTAGGCCACTGAACTTAAAAAATCAACAATCGGGTCCCTAAACTAACCAATTTCAAACAAATCTTCCAATTTGTAGGTTTCCAACAGGTTAACAGGTCATCCTCCCAAATTAATTATTTTTAAAAAAATAAAATTTAAAAATTAATTATTTAATTAATTAAAAAAAAAAACAGAAACGGCCGGAGACGAAGAAACTTCTTCGTCTCCGGCCAGTTTCTTCGTCTCCAGCCATGGAGAAGAAGAAACTCTTCGTCTCCATGGCCGGAGACGAAGAAATCTTCTGTCACCCTCGTAAGTCTTAAATCCCTATCGTACAAGCAACGGCAAATGGGCAAAGACCTCAAAGCTTATCCCTTGCTCTAAACCAAACCACGTCCTCCAAAAAGACTTGAGGAGAATTTTGAATGACAAATTTCGGGTTACACATTCTTTTTGTATGAGATGTCTGTCTAAATTAAACTTTTTTTTTTTAATGACAAAAATTATTGTGATTCTTATCCGTAAGACGGGTCAAATTGTAGATAATCGGGTGTGTAAGTATGACAATTTCAGTTATAAGTATTAGAATATTTATCGTTATTAATAATTATTTTATACTAAATAATATCACAAAATTCCAAGTCTCACGCTTGGACCAAGATGTGGAGATTCAAAAACCCTTCCTAAAGTTAAGACATTCTTCTGGAAAGTTTGTTCAAACTCTCTGCCCACTATCATGGATGAGTGTGTGGTATGCTTTTGAGTGAATTGTAGTGTATCAAAAAGTGTTGATTTGTGGTAGAAAAAACGCGATGGTATTTTGATAATTTTCTACACTATGTATATTACAGTAGTACACTAAGTGCTGGAGTGTGGTGCACTTATTAGTTTTGTGTGATGCACTTTTGAGTGAACTGTAATGTACTATAAAGTGATGGTTCCACGACATAATCAAATGCTATACAAATTACATAATCAAAAGTGAAATTTCTTCTAAATCATAATTAGAATCTGAGGGGTATTCTTGTCCGACAAACTCAATCTTATAAGCAAACCAAATGGACAGAGACCTCAATGCTTATCCACTCGTCTAAAGTCTAAACCAAACCACGTCCAAACCCAAATCCTCCCTTCAGATATTTTTTAGTACATTAGGTATTTCAATTTAGACTAAATTAATTCTAAGTAGTCAGAAGTCGTGTTTATGAGTCTTAAGAGGTCAATAATGATATACATTCTGTCCTAAAAAATCTTCATCTCTACAATGTCATTAGAACAAGATTTTAAAATGATCGGTTGAACAAATGACTTAGTCCGTGAAATCTCCTTAAAATACACCACAAATGTTTTCTTAAGAGATATTTACTTATCCATCATATTGAAATACTGGGATTTCTCATCAATTTCGCAGTTGATGATTCCCAAATGGATAACCAAAACCCAGAAACAAAGCCAATCATCATAGCGATGAAAGGCCATCCAGGCACCGGCAAGAGCACACTATCCCACTCCTTAGCCAAAGCTCTCAAATTCCCCCTCCTCGACAAAGACCAATTCCGCGACTGTACCAAGAAAATCCAAGATTCCCTCATGCACTCCACTCCGGCCACCGCCGCCGCCCTCCTGAACGACCTATCCTACGAGGCCATGTGGCGGGTCGCCGCCGCCCAGCTCGCCCTGGGCCTCAGCGTCGTCATCGACTCCCCTCTCTCCCAACGCGCCCACCTCGACCGCCTGATCGCGCTCGCGGCTCGTTTCAACGCGCGCCTGGCCGTGGTTGAGTGCCGCCCCAAGGACGAGGCGGAGTGGCGCCGCCGGGTCGAGGCCCGGGGCGCGGCCGACGCCTCCAGCTGGCACAAGCCGTCCACGTGGCAGGAAATGGAGAGATTATTGGAGAGATATGGTGGCTGCTGGGACTATGATTTTGGGGATGTGCCCAAACTCACTGTGGACACCACTGCAAATGTGGAGGTTCAAGATTTGGTATCCGCAGTCATAGAATTTCTTCATTCCAATAATAACAAAAAGTAAAGAATATGTTGTTCATGTTTTATATTGTCACAACTTACAAGAACAAATTGAGGTCAAAAAGGAGAGTTTTTATTGTAAATCTTTGCCACTACATACATATCTTACAGTCTCCAATGTTCAAGACAATAATGCAGACAGTTCCACCTTCAATCAAATATGTTACACACCATACCCTTAACTTTCATAATGCCTATTTAACTATATATTTGTCCAAAAAAAAAAAAAAGCTAAGCAAAAGAAATAACCCTCCTGGATTAGATGTTGTAAAACTGAACTATCTTTTCCTGACTCTTGGAGTGAGCTTTGGAGTTGCATTGTTCTTGGCTGAGGTTGAAGAAGAAGATGGAGGCGATGAAAGGGAGGACCAATTATGCTCCGCTTTGTCTTTCACAAACGCCTTCTTCACTTCCTCCTTGAGTTCAATGTATCGCATCTTCTTCGTCCTCTGCTCTTCCAACGTGCCACTTTCGAGCATCAAAGAGTCCAGGACGTCGTCCTCCAGTAACCTATCCAGAACTTCCGAGCAGTTGGGGAAAAAACGTCGCCCATTTCTCACTGCCATCGTCATTGACCAAAACGAGAGGAATTAGAAATTAAACAAACACACACACACATTGTAGAGGACAATATGTTTCATAAGACATGTAAGGAGTTGTAAAAAGGATTCATGGAAGTTATTATATCTTTGGTCTTTAATATCCTATGAACGTTTGTCTTCTTACCTGTTTGAGCATATAATATATAAACATAAATGTGCAATCCAACTATTGAGACAAAACACATCCTTCAATTTTACCCAAAAAAGAAGTATGAAAAGCGCATGATTACCAGTCTTTTGCAGGGCTACAAGCCGCTCTTTGAGTCTTTTAACTTGGTCAGATGGCAATTCATTCAAATCAACACCTCTTAGATTTCCACATAATCCGTTTGTTGATGAAAGGCCAGCAAACTCCAAGGTTGAATCTGCGTGTGCTTGCTCCATAGCTAGTTTAGCCTCTCGGGGGAACAATGTTCTAGCCAAGGCCACTGCGACATAAATCCAAAATATGTATAACTACGTTTGAATAATGAAATCAATATGCTTTATAAACACAGCTACGATGTAAAGTGCCAAACCTCGATTTTCCAGGAAGTAAAGTCCCATAAACAATTCATCAGCCACAGTAGACGAAGACAGAGACATACTCCCAACCATTGGATTCCCACACGTTTCCCTCTCCAAGACATCAATGCATAATCGGTCTTTATTGGTTTCTATGCCTTGCTTTAAGGGCACATTATAGTCCTTAGGCCGAGTCAACCTCCGACAGATTGCAACCGGACCCTGTCCATTCGATGCAAGATCTGCCACAGACGCTCCATTGTTCAGTAGCCCGAGTATGATCGATGGATCCTTACGTCTAGCAGCTATATGAAGCGCAGTGTATCCTCGTGCATTAGGAAGATTGGGATCAGCCATACCGAGGTCAAGCACTTCGTTTACGAGCTTAGAGTTGCAATAAGCGGCTGCATAGTGAAGAGCATAAGCGTCGTCTAGTGTGACCATAGACTCGTCTAGAAGTAACTTAACCAACTCAACATCATTCGAATCCAGAGCCCTTAAGATTCTCCTGATTCTCTTTTCTTTCAGAGAGTCCACTTGGACAGTGTCCGGTTCAAGATTCCGTTGAAACTTGAGTCGATTTGCTTTGATGTCACTGAAGACTTCAGGAGGAAGTTCTTTTTCGAGAGTGAAGTTGTCTAGATCGGATCGTGTCACCCTCTGGACACAACACTCGAGAAGTTGGCTAAGCTCACAGTGATAGGCCACCATAAGAATTGGAATCACGTCTTCGATCAGAGCCTTCTCAACAAAGTTGTAAAGACGGCGCTGCACAAAGTAAACAGTTACTGTAGATCAGACACCGTAATATAGGCACACAAGAAGGTAGATAACGATAACACTGACCTGAACAAGCATTTTAAGCTCTTTCATTTGGAAAGTGGAAGAAGCATACATGAGCTCAACCGCATAGTTAATGGCGGGGAAGCAAGCGCAATGAACACAAGATTCGTCCACACATGTTGAAACCTCGGGAGGAGATCCCTTGAGCTTCCCTGTATACAAATAGTTCAAGAAAACCTTAAACGCTTCATAACCTACCCAACCATGGGGCAACAAGTCAGTCATTAAAAATTTAGGCTTCCCTTCCTTTCCCGAACCATCATTCCCCGTCTTAAACTTGTCGTGGAAAAATTCACTCCTCGCAGCCAAGATGCAGCGATTTACACCAACACAAACCCCTTCAACTTCTATCTCCGCATCACTGTAGTCAAATTCAGCATCTATCAAGAGCTTCTCGAGCCCACTGCTCAGCTTGCTCAAACTCAACAACTCAAGATTGCTTCCCGCCTCGCGTGGGCTACTGCTCCCATTCGACACACAAGACGATGAAGTAAAGCTCAAGGGCGACGAAAATTCATTCCCATTTTCCATCAGTAAAAGTGACAGTTAACTAAGCTCCCTAAAATAGACACACACTATCATCACTGTGAGGGCTAATGATAGCAGCCATGGGGGAAATTAAACCTCTATACTAATCAAGCATTGCCAATCCAATCTCTGATTATAATTGGACCAATTGACTACAAATGAAGAGAAATCATAAAAACCCAAATTCAGATTCAGCCTATCCACCCAAATCTCCTTTCATATCAGAAACAATACCTATGAAACACACAGAAACAATATTAACAAACAAGGTTCAATGTTTTATGAGTATTGTATGATTAACAACATAAAAACACAGTCTTTATATTTACCCACAAATCAAAACATGAGAACTTGCTCAGAAATACCTCAAGAACTGATCCCATAGGAAATTATTGAAGTCATGCACCACCGTTGACAAGTCAACTCCCCATGTCCTTCTAGAACTCTGCAAAAAGCCTAAAGAACACCAAGTTTGAACCTCTGCCAAGGTAACAGGGAAGAGATTAAGAGACAAGAAAACACCAACCCTTGCCTTCAATTCCTTGATTAATTACAACAGTTCCCAGAATTCAACAAACCAAGAAACATAAAGAAGTAGGGAGAAAATTTATGTTGTCTGTCTCTTAGGGTTGACAGCAACTTGGAGCTGTGGGCATGTTTGATAGAGGGTGTGTGGGCAGTAATTAGCTATGAAACTAAAGACTTTAAGAGCCCATCTAAAAGTGGAAGCTTTTTCCAAAGATGAGAATAAGACAGTCAGACACAGCCACATATAGAAGTGAAAGTTCTTGTTTTTCTTGACTGTGGTTGGAGTCTTTGGTAAATGGTAATCCTAGTACACTGTAAACTGTAAAGTTCTGTACATGGGAGACTTCAAACTTTAAAGTGTTTGCGGACAGTTTCTCATTAAAGAAAACGTTTTTGTGTATGCTAAATTAATCAAATAATTAACATAATATAGCAAAAACAATAAAAAGGTTGATTATAAAACAGAAGCAAAATGTACAGTGTGGAAAGGGTGAGATGGTGTTAATGTGTTTTGGCGGCATATGGAAAAGCAACCTGCGTTGACCCAACGTGTGGCGTTTACTTTGTTGCTATCCTGTCTACATGTAATGTATGGTGGGACTCTGCCCCGTGCTTCAAACGCTCAACCGTAGTGGTCCACCGTCGGCGAACTTTCTCAGGCAAACCGCAAACCTGGATATATAATAATATAATATTGTATTATTGCTCCTTTTATGATTTTCGTATAAAAGATTTTTTTTTGTTCAGAGACATAGGGTAAAGAAACTCCAAATTAAACTATGCAATGTCTTATTACGCTACACTCATAATATCTAAAACTTGGGAAGAATAATATCTAAAACTAAACCTAAACCTTAAAAAGTGAACCATTTATTAATCTAAATTGACAATAATTATAAAAATATCAATGCATTTTAAAATAAAAAAAAAATTCATCAATATATGTATATAGGACGCGATTCAAGTGCGGAGATGCTCACAGGTGAAAACGGTGAAAGATGGTGTTAGATCTGAGCCGTTGATCAAATCATAGATTCATAGATCAACGACTCAAATCAATGAAAAAAAAAGATGTGTCTTCAATTAAAGAAGCAAACTGTAAAAAATGACGCACCTTAAAAAGGAAAATCACGCACCTAAAGCTTTAGGTCGACGCACCTTAAGTTTTAACAACTGATGCACCTTAAGCACATAGACCACGCACATTAAGAAAGAAAATCACGCACCTTAAGTTTCAAAAAAAAAAACGCACCTTAAGCTCTCAACTAAAGAACTGACGCACCTTAAGTACAGAAACCACGCACCTTAAATTTGACCAAAATGTAAAAAGACCAAATTGTCACTGTATTTTTTTAATCTGTGATTCAATCTAGGCTGTTGATTTTGATTAGATCAAGGGTTGAGATTAAACTCCATCTTTTACCTGAAGCGCATTTGATATCTTTATATATATATATATATATATATATATATATATATATATATATATATAAAATCAATCAAGAGCAAATGCCCAATACAAAATGGACAAGAAGAGTTTCAAACTCAAAATTTATCGCTCGAGCTAATGTATAAGCAAACTATATATATATATATATAAAATCAATCAAGAGCAAATGCCCAATACAAAATGGACAAGAAGAGTTTCAAACTCAAAATTTATCGCTCGAGCTAATGTATAAGCAAACACATTACATGATCTACTAATAAATTGAATGGACACAAATTAAAGTGTCTAAAACGAGAACGATATCCTCTTAAGATACATCCTGCATAAGAAAAGTTCGAAGACAATCATTCAACAAGGACCAATAAACAATCATACATATATGTAGGTACCTACCCCAACCACCTGATCTACTCCAAATGAAAAGAGATTAATTACTTTTCAAAGGAATGAGATTACAACTTGGAGATTAAATTAATAAATTCTGTATCGTTACTCGTTAGGGACATAGGGTATATTGTCAAATGGAAGTTAGTCAATAAAAATGGAATTTATGTATTTTAACTACTAATTCACCCGCGCGATGCACGAAAAAAAATTATGTTATTATAAATATAAATAAAAAATAGAAAAACTAAAATATTTTAAATTATTTAATATAATAATATTTTTGAGCTTTCATGGGTAAATATTTATTATTTTTATAGAATACAAAATTACAATTAAAATAAATTATAATTTTGTATGATTAATATAATCTCTAATTATGTGCATATTCAAATAAACTTATAGAGAAAATTTATTTAATTACATTGATTTATTCTTAATTGTATTTCATCTATATTATAATTTTCACAATATGAATAATAACTAAGATAATTACATTTGGAAAGAAAATTTCAAATTTTGTATGTGTAAATTTAAACTCTAATTGAACACATTTTTTATATGATTATATAATATATAGTTATTTTATTTTTCAAAAGTATATTTTTTATATGATTATATAATATATAGCTATTTTATTTTTTAAATGTTGTGCTTTTTTTTTTTATAATAAAAGATGTATGTTGTGGCATTAATTGTAGTATTAATTATTTCCCAAACCATATAGCTTTATTATATAAAGGAAAGGATATGGAGAAGGACTAATAATAATGCATTTAATATACAAAGCTAATGTCGCATGCTATTCAACTTTATTTAGAGATGGATCATTGAGTTAATCATTTTAATTATAACAATTAGATAAATACTTTAATTAATTGAGTAAATTAAAGTGATTAATTTAACAGGTCAGCTCATTAACCATAATGAATACCTCGAGCCTTAATAATAACCCATAAGTTCCGTGTCCAACTTTGTCTCGAGTTAAAAATTATAAAATAATATTTTATAAAATTATACGAGATATGAAAAATATTGAACAACTTTAATCAAGTTGGTTAGATAATTGATTTTAGATATGAAAAATATGCAGCCTTCTCACTTTGAGCCACTCAAGTATACTATCTTCAATAGTTTCTCATAAATTCCAAGAAATATGAAAAATAAAAATAAACAAAACTACATCAAGCACAAAAGCATCTGTAAGGCACCGTACCATATCTTAAAAGGTATTATCTGAACCTATAATCATTGTGGTAAGACCACAAATCAAATTACTCCTAAATGTTATTGCACAGTGAAATATATAGTTATTTGCCTAGTGGTGGGGGCCTTTCTTGGGGGAGGGGGGATTGGCTTACTTTACTCAGTTAAATCCATGATGTCATTGCCTACATATATCAACATTTGATATCATCACCTATGTCACGTGCCAATGTCATCAACATAAAACTATACCTAACAAAAGAATCACCGACAGTAAAATGTGGTCATTTGTTTGTGATATATACACGGAATTTAGATGTATATAAAACATGTATCTGTATATCCAACATAAATTTGGCTGGCAGCCTATTCTTCATCACAGAGAAATGGGTTGTAAAATGTACACTGCCCTTGTGGTGGTTCTGTGTCCATATACATGGCGAAAAGGCATGCGTCATAGGACCTCGATCTAGTGCCTGCTCGAAAACGTACAAACTATGATCTGCACTGCTAATAGGACCGCTCCTCTTTATCAGCACAGGTAACCTGATTTGTGTTGCTCATAGGACCCCCTTAGTCCCTCTTTGCAAGTGTCTTCTTTAGTCCCATCACAATCTTCCCAAACCACATCATGTTCAGGATGGCTAGGACCAATGGCACCACCAAAACCAAGAAGACCGCGCTCCTATGCATCTGCTCCACCTGTGGGAAAGGCAAAAACATGCATGGGATGGTGAATGTTGAGCATATAATATATATGTATGGGGACAACCCCAACCAAGTTGGTCAGACTGTTGCTTAGTAACCACAAGATTCCAAATTCGACTCCCAGTAGGAGCGGCCTATTGAGTATTGGCCTTCTTGGTTTGTGACGGTCACCTATCCACCACCTAGGCTGGTTTACCTCCTTGTGATCCTCGCTGGCTAGGATTACAAGGTGGGGTTTACCCAGTTAACACCATTGGGTAGTGGCTGTGGGTTTTCCTCTAAATTATAAATTTAAACGTCTAGTTGAGACAAAAGGTCATGTGTGCAGTGAAGATATGGCAGTTGCAGGGTGGCTGTTTACCTGGTTATAGTGTAGGTAGACATGGTAAAACATGTATATAAACAACAATATTCTGGCAACCTGCAGATAACAATGTAAGTTTTGATCAAGTCAAGGACAGAAGATAAAAGAGAAATTTATGAAAAGGAAATGGTATATTGGAATGTGAATGAATGGATCATATACCATCCAAGCTGAAAACATGACTACTCCATTGATAACATACGCTTTGGTTTTCTTCATTCCAGCAATATCAAGATACCTTTGTAGGAGCACAAGATTCACGTCAATGATAGGTATGATGTAATATATGTTGATAGAGACAATATAATGTTTACAAGATATCGGTACTACCATCTCAAATTGACGCTGGGAGTGGTTGCCTCAGAAACCAAAACCATGAAGGTATAAAGCTGCCCTTCACCAGTCAACATAGCATATGTTATAGCTATCATGGAAAGAAGGTGATGAACAACCTGGAAAGGCACCGCATTACCAAATTCCAATGATCAGAACTGTGCAAAAATCAGTTTGTTCGTCAAACAAAACAAAAACACAAAGGATAAGAAATCACTTACATACTCCATTCCGCCTAAAGAAGGATAAAACCAAATCATCATCCCGAGATCAGCAATGAAGTAGCCCACAGAAACCTACCAAAAATATGCCAAGAACAGGTCAATCTAAAGAATTGATGGGAGTTTGAGCATTTAGAATGTAATCTCCAATGATAACATCCCAACTAACTAGAGAGTTGAGACCATGCAGTATATTAACATAGTACAACAATTGCAACATAGTACAACAATTGCAACATAGTACAGAAATTGCAATGAAATCCCAACGAAACAAATAGCAATTGCAGTATATTCAATCAAGCTTACAATCTGAACAATGATCACAAAGGTATAATACAAGAGTCTATTGCAAAGAGGGACAGTAATTCCATGAACTAGACTTCTACCAACTTTGAAATCCTGCCCTAATCCTTGATCTCATGATTAATTCTGATTAATTCTGCTGCAGAGCAATTAACTAACTATAAAACCATTGCTGATAATGATGATGATATATCCTGGAGTGCAGATATACAATAAGCTCTTTGAAACTAATTAGGTAAGGAAAGGAAGGGAAAACAAAATACTTACTCCTAGTACACTTGTTGACAAGGTTGAACTTCGGAAAGTGATAAGGCCAGGAAGATGATCAGAAAATAAGTCTGACCAGAATGCAATGTGAAGTGCCATTGCTGTAATAAAGATGGCGTGAACTGTAGATATTGTACTGCAAATAAAAAACAGCTAACATTTGATCAGCAGAAAACATATCTGTTGTTTAACAAAGATACAAATAAAATAGGATGTTGGCTTACCGGTTATTCCACTCAACTTGCTGGGCTTTTGAGAGGTTGGGGTATCCCTTAAAACAAGCAACTGTAATCATTTGGCTAAGACTATAGACCTGAATTCATTTGAAGGATTAAAATTTAAACAGTTAAACAAAAACGGCATGTTTTGGATTGTAGTCCAGGCAATCAGTTGTACAAAATATCAAAATTCAAACAGGATTACTGGCAGGATGAAGCCAAAAGTGATCATCTTCGTACCATTTTGCATGCAAAAATGCCACATATAACAGAGCTATACACTACAAGTGAATCCGAAAGCATATAGTTTTTGAGAAGGAGCTCAGCTCGAGTGTGGTAAGAGACGATCGCCATATAATTTCCTTCAGAAGGCAGCACACTATAGTAAATACTTCTTCACAAACACTTCCTCAGTCTTGTGTAAAGTATCCCAAGTACTTTAATCCTTACAATATCTGCACCGCACGTAAGGATTGAACACAATTAGCATAAATACACAAACTCTGCCATTTCTATATGAAAATGCAGCTATAGTGAACAATACCAGGTGAAACAAATATGTTAATGGAAAACTATAATCCAGACTAAATAGTTAACTCAAGTTTCAAAGGACAACAAAATTAAAAACAGTAAAACTTTCATGAACTCCAGTCATTCCCTATCATATCCCAATCAAACCACACACAAGAGTAAAATTCTACAATTATATTATATAGTGTGCCCCAATCTTCTCTCTCTAGTTTTAAACGATAGCATTGTTGAATGCATCTTTGCGCGTGTGTGATGAACCCAGCATCAAAAGCATACCACAGTATAACCATAACAGAAAGCAGAAAACGATGAAACACAATAGTGGTTGGCTTTATCATATGATTAAGTAATTATAATCTTCGAACAATGAGGACGCGGGCATCAAACTTAAACACAAACATAAGATATCTGGAAACATGAATGCGCGGGCAATCATGGCGAGAACTTGAGAAGTCAGATAAATTTACAAATAAATGGGAAAGAAGCGTACAGGAAACCAGATATGTTCCCCGAAACAAAAATTAAAACGAAACCCCCGCCCCTCTCCTCGGTCCTTTTGTTCACCGAATTCAAAAATCATGCACACAACAAAAACATCCTAATAAGAAAACGAAGAGAAACATACGAGAAAACTGCGTTCAATTACGTACTCTGTTCTCCCCGGAAGCAACGAGGAACATAGATGAAAAAAAGGCGCCTCGAAATTTGCTAAAGAAGGAAAGAAGGGGGTTTCATGATCGACTTACCGAGGATGATGGAAGTTTTTGTTTGAGAGAGAGAGAGGAGTGGCTTGCGTTTTCGATTGTGTACGTTGGATTGTGTTCCTAAGGGCAAGAAAAATCGAGAAGGAAAGCCAACAGGGAATCCTCGAATAACTTTTTACGGACTATTTATTTTTTTGTTTTTATAAAAATTCTCCATTCTCCATACGGCACGCGCTGGCGCGCACGCTACGGTATCCGACCACTAAGTTGCGTGCATCGCATCGGTGGCGCGTGATACTTTTCCACCAATCGGGATACCTGCATTGCCTTAATCTGTGCACAGTAAACAAAGGTCTAGTCTCTGTGTTCATCTGAGTTATCATGATTTACATTTTCTTACAGACTTTGTCAGGTCAGAATATGGTGGGCCATTGAGTTTGGGGATTCAACCTTTTGGGAACAACAACAATGAAACAACCTCAAATTTTTAATACTAAAAAATGGTTCAGAGTTCATCAACATAATCACTTGGAGTGATTCAACCTATTTCAACCTTCATCTACAATTTTTAATGTGTGTTTTTACTATCAGAAATTTATATTAAGAGTATCAAATATCTAACTACTAATAATTTGGTATTGTATGCTGTCAAAAAAAAAATGGTATTGTAAATTTTCATCTAAATTATTGTTTATTTACTTTATATATATAATCTAAAAAGTCAATAATGTAAATAAATTTTAACAAACTATCAACAAAAAATAACTCAATGGAGGTGTTGTTAACTCTTTGTGCTTCATTAGATTGCGAAAGTATATTTGGATAGATATTCTTAATCTCCTATGTAATAGGGTCAGTAGCACTAAAAAAAAAAAAAAAAAAAAAAAAACTTAAAAGCTTATTTGTATATAGATCTACCAGAAAATACAAATTTAATGCAAATTTGTGGAAGTTGTCGTTCATTAAACTCAGTAGACGCGTTATGCCTTACTTAATTATTTAAAATGAAAAATTAATTAATTAATTAAAAAAGTAACAGCTTAATCAAGTCAGGCACATACATGTGCGGAAAAGTGTTTATTAATGATGGATTTAAAACTTTGATATATCTTCAAAAAAACTTTGATATGAAATTAACGCAGGGCTATATTTGAGTAATAAATTTGGTGTAAAATACGATAGATTTGTTACCAACATAATTACACATCAAAGTTCAATCATCACCCAATCAGTAATTACTTGCTAACTTAGAGTATTTTTTCCCCCAAATACTGTCTACTTAACCAGTGAGCTAAGTCCGTGTAAGTTAACTTTTTTTTTTTTTAACTTACACGGACTTAGCTCACTGGTTAAGTAGACAGTATTCGGGAAAAAATACTATCTACTTAACCAGTGAGCTAAGTCCGTGTAAGTTAACTTAGAATATACTCCATATTATTAAAACTTTGGATTTTATTTTTAAATACTCATGATTTTTACTATGCAATATTTGTTCTATATTACAAGGTACTTGCCAACTTTTGTTAGTTATTATTTGCATTATTCATTGACTTACAGAATATATTTGATACTTTTTCTATAAACTATGAAGAATGATAAGTGACCTTATAACTAATTACTTAATTAGATTTTCATCATATATTTTAATTTTATTCAACAAAAAAAAAAGTGAAAAAAGCGATAATATGATTAAAAACAATATCAGATTTTTTTATTTTTATTTTTTTCACGCGAGACGTGATTATTATAGGACAATCATTTTTGTCCAAATTTTATCGGTTAATATTGTTGTTTTAGCATATAACATCTTTTTCAAGTGGTCAATTCTTAATATATATCATTTTCCAGCATATCTTAACTTAATGGAATCTATTTTAGTGCTTGACTACTGCCATCCGATTTGTCATCAACAGATAAGTTTTTAGAAAACCATTCACGTCATACTGGTGGACGGAAATTGACTACCTAGTTGTTAGGTGAAGTTTGGAAAAAATGACCATAGATCGAGTCTTATCAGCGACAGTATAGGAACATTCTCTCAAAATGAGGGAGCTCTTTGTGCGCAGTGAGCAAAAGTTTAGCCTATGTAGTTTATGGTGGCATGATTTACATCCTTCCAGATGCTCAGTCGGGCCCTTAGGTTGGGGTTCAACCTTTTGGAAAGAATTATATGATTATAGCGTTTTATCTTTGAGTTGTTCATGTATTACATTAACTTTTTAGTTATTTTAACTTCATAACTACACATTCAGAATTACATGCATAAGTACATATCCATAACTTCATAACTAATACATTCAGAATTACATGCATAAGTACACATCCATAACTTCATAAGTAATACATTCAGAATTACATAACTACACATCCATAAATTCAGAACTATACATTCAGAATGTGAAATTATAAATTATGAACATATGTTTACGTAACTAACGGCAATCAAAAATGATTTTTGTTTTAAGTAAAACGATGATGTGTTTACAACCGTGTGCACCATGATTGCACACATAATTTGCCAGATTAAAAGTGGATCTTGGAGTTTTATGGACCGCGATCATGGGCCTGATTGGCCCAGTTAGAGATCCTTCTATTGTTGGGCCACAAAGGCCTGACTTGTTGGGCTAGGGACAATTTCTGCATTCGCCCCAAAAAGATTTGCAGTTAATTGAAAGAAAAAGTCAATACCAACAAAGTCCAGAAAATTGAAACGTACCAAACAGCACCTTACAGTCGACAGCTAATAATCGCCTTCTCCAATTTCTGCTTTACCGAAGAGGCAAAAACCTTCCAAATTCGGTTCAGAAATAACCTCAATTTTGTCTTTCATTTCTTCACCGTATCGCCATGGCATCTAATGGAGCTTCCCGGGTAAGCTCTCTATGGTTTTCTCTTTCTCTGTAGTTTTGAATTTACATTTACATGTCTGTATGAATGCACTAGTGATGTGTAATTTTTCTGTTTAACTTTAGGGGGCGGAAGATACAAAGACCAGCTTGGAGAAGATCAAGCGGCAGTTAGCTTCCGGGTCGGGTCGCAATTTGCTCCAGGGTCCGCTCCTCAAACGATCCGAGACTGTAAGCTCACACTGGGACTTGCTATTTGTTTATTATTAAATCTTGAGTTTGGGTTCGGTTTGGATTAATTGTTGGATCAGTATAAGCAATCGAATTGGGTTTCTTGATGTTTTGTAAAAAACAAGATGGAAGATGTATATAATTATTCATTAATAGAGTAACTATGAACCTGTGATCGTAATTTTGTTAGTCTTGCAATGTATGCTTAACTCTTTTAAAGAAAAATGACTGATTTTACAATTTTAGATGTATTATCAGTATCTCAATCTGGAGTTGAGCTACTGTCAGGCTCCATATGAGGGAACTGGGGGTTCAAAGCCGAGACTTTGTATAAGGAGAAGTGATCTCCTTCAAACTGGACTCCACATGGCAGAGCTCTTCTAATGCATGTAGCTCCCTCCACTCACAAGTCTCGAACTTGAGACTTTACATGAGAGGAACCCAGCTCTTATGCAATAAATTTATCCAATTGGTTTTATCTCTAGCCCTGCATGTAATAGATTTATCCAATTCTAGATAGTTAAACAGAGCTGAATGTCTTACTTATGTTTTTATCTTTTTTATTCATCATTTAGCCATTTAGGTCGATGAACTAAAGCAGATAGCTGTACTACTGAAATAGAAACAGCTCAGAAACGTTGAATTTGCTCTATAAGGGCTGGTTCTCATTTACTATTTATAAAAATTGAATGGAAAAAAAAAAAAAGAAAAGAAAAAGTGATAGAGGCAGTTCACTTCCACTTTTGGTTTATTAGTCATCATAGCCTGAAATGGGTTCAAGAGGTCAATTGCATTAATGCATTGTGCACAAGGTCAGTTTGGAATACATTATATGTCCTGTGATAGGTAGAAACATTTGCTTGAGTCTAATTGGAAGGAAGTTAGTATCTGCTATATAATATTAGGATTTAGGAAGGCTATAAGTTGGGCAGTTATTTTGATATTTGAGATACATTTTATGGTAGGTAACCAACTTTACTACTATCTTGTAATAGATAATTACCACTTTGATGCTAAATTGTTAGGAGTTTAATTAACTTCTTGTTCTGATTTTGTTTCATGAAATGTCTTTATATATTCGGATGGAAATATGAAAGGACATTTTAGACCATTATAGAGTTGGTAGCGCTTGCTATTTATTGTCTAGTTAATCTTTTTTTTTTTTTTTTTTGGAGTTTATATATATATATATATATATATATATATATATATATATATATTTGTTACTATATAAAGAGTTAATACTGACTGAAGGAGAAATTGCTATTTGAATAGCTGAGGAAATGGAATGAGAGATGGGTGATCTTAGACCCTACAACCGGAAAAATGGAATACAAGTAAGTTGCTTTTTATATGAAATTCTATTTCTTGATCCTCATATATACAATATATCATTGCTTATGTGATTATATTTTGGTTTCTAGGGCCAAAAGGAATGAGCCAACAGTCAAGGGGACCATTTTATTTGATGCAAATAGCACGATAACAATTTCTCCTGTTAATTTACAGTAAGCTTGTTATACCCTTTTAGAGGAATTTTTCCTCTGATTGTATGTCTTTAATCTCTAACAATGAAGTATCTCTTGTGAATGATTTATTTACTAAATTGGCCCCTGCTGCAGTGGACTTCCAAAGTATGATGGCTGTTGTTTCTGTATCCATTTCGAGTGATTCATATTCTTCTTTTCTGCTTTCTTGTTTTCTAATGTTTGCATGCAAGAGTGGATCTTGAGTAGGTTTGACTACAATGCAATGAAGCTCCAAAGTTGCATCACTTAAATGCTTTTGCATTAGCTTCTGTTTCTTCAATTCTTAACTGTACTTAGATATTGGGACGCCACAGAAGAAGGACTACTTCCTATGCGCAGAAACCCCAGCAGCAGCTAGAGCTTGGGTGTCTACATTACAGTGAGTAGATAGAATTTCTGTTTTCATGGTGTTTAAGAAATTCCTCTTCCTCCCTTTTTTATTTTATTTTTTTAATCTATGTTATCTCTGGTAGAATATTTAGGCTCCAATAGCTGATTTCTCACTTTTTATGATGCTAGAAATGATTTTTATTATTGATTTTTTTTCTCTAGTGATTTTTTTTTTTTTCTTTCTTTAAGTAGGTGAACCAAATGTGTATATCAATTCATAATACAGCTTTATCCTTTACCCAAAATATATATATATATATATATATATATATATATATATATATATATATTATCATAGTTCATACCATAATTTCTTTTTTTGATCCTATTGTGCATTCTCCTTATCTTTATCTTTTTTTTTTTTTTTTTTTTTATTCTCATTAAAATCAGGGCAACACAGCTGGTTTTAAGGGCTCATAAAGAGGCTGTAAATTCACTTAGTGGGAATGGTTCAAACAAGCTGGGAACAGTTGCCACTGTAGTTGCTGCTGCTAATTCAACTGCCCTAGAGGCTTCAAAGGATATTGAAGCTGCAATGCAAATCTCCATGAGAAATGCTTTAGGAGCAATGAGGATCCAGACACCTGACAGCCCTATGGATGATATGTCAATTATGAAGGTAAGCTGGGTTCTATTACCTGCTTAGGCATTAATCAATTTATATTTAATGATTTAATCATAGACAATATAGGACTATATTGAATGATTGCATATTCACAGTACTATATTGAGTTCCTCTTGTTGCTCAGTATTAACAGTTTCTCATGTTGCATTTGCACAGTACTACTATTGTGAGTTCCTTGTGTAGCACATGATAATTTATTGAACATTAAAAACCCACGAGTCCAGGACTGATTCTAATCCCATGTAGTAGGTCATCAGACACTGGAAAAACCAGTATCATTAAAATTATTGGATATTTGCGAACAATCAGAATACTAAATACCATTATTGGATATTTGGATTAACTATGTTTAAATTCTTGCATTATTTTAAGCTAATAAACAAACCATTGTTATTCTTCTCAGAATGGTATCAGCCATTTCCTCTCATCCCTTTTGTGGTGTTATGTTAAGAAGCTCTGCAGCACAGTATAGACATGTGTCACAAAAATCCTGAATAAAAAACCCTTATTTTCAGCCTTCGGCTGTTTGTGGGTCATAAGTTGGGAATCAAGAAATACATGCGTGGCTGAACAGAAACCCTAGTTGTGATTGTTAGTCACGAGTCAAATTGGAACAACTAGTTGTGACTTGGTACTTAAAACAAATGTAGGACGAGAAGATAAGTTACTTGGAAGAAGGGATAGAATGAAGAAATTTACCATATTTTAGTTAAAAACTTGATTGTGTGCTGGATGCATCCCCAATGTTCCAGCAAAATATGGCTTATCAAGAGGGATACACTTTAGGCATGTCCAACATGTGTCTGAGCATGTCCTTTTGCAGCATAGATACACACCAAATTTGGTTTCCATGCTTTCTAGGTGTTGAGCAGCAAGACCTTCTATATGGAATAACTGAATATGCTTTTTGCAACTTACTGTATTTTTAACTTGCTTTGCTGCTATTGACCTTGGAGACTTCACTGATCACCTCCTTTTCTGTTGGCATTCTTACAATATATTATCGAGTATATTGTTTAGGCTGAACTGAGTATTGCATCTGTGCTACAGGAGACACTTAGAGTTAAGGATGAAGAGTTGCAAAATTTGGCTAGGGAACTTCGTGCAAAGGACTCAACAATAAAAGAATTAGCAGATAAACTATCTGAAACTGCTGAAGCTGCAGAGGGTGCTGCTTCTGCAGCCCATACCATGGATGAGCAAAGGAAAATTGCATTTGCAGAGGTAGAGCGCTTAAGAAGAGATTCAGAAAAGCAAATGGAGTCATCTATGTCAAAGGTTGAAATTCTTTATTATTTGTTTTGGTATTACTGCAGAATGCCATAATGTTTAACATTCTGCTTTTCAAATGAGGCATTATTCTTGAATTATAAATTAAAATATGCCATTGGATTTGTAGTTGCGGGAATTTGAAGAAAAGATTTCCTCTCTGGTTAAGGAAAGAGATGAAGTGATAAAACATAGAGATTCCGCCCTTCAGGAAGCACTTTTATGGCGTACGGAGCTTGGAAAAGCCAGAGAACGTGTGGTCATTTTGGAAGGTGCAGTTTTTCGGGCAGAAGAAAAGGTCAGAGTTACTGAGGCTGATGCTGAAGCTAGAGTGAAGGAGGCAGCACAAAGAGAGGCTGCTGCTGTGAAGGAGAAGCAAGAACTATTGGCATATGTGAATATGTTACAGTCACAACTGAAAAGGTACACTTTTTTTGTCTAGCAAACGTTTCTCCCCTAGTTAGTGGCCAATCTATGTGACCTCAATTATTAGTTCATGCTATTGTAATTCTTTCTGGACAATATTTGATATATTGAATTATTTTTTGCATTTTTGAGAAAGATGCCATGACATGATGAATGAGACACAAATCAGAGGAAGGCATCTAAGAACATTAATCCTTTACCTTGGAACTAGGAACATACGTCTGTTATACTGTTTTCTGGATATGGTACAGTTGTGTTATGATAGGCCCAAACTAAATTGAAGTAATTTCTGTTTCCTTTTTGCACCCATCAAGGTAACTCCTTATACAACATTGAGATAGGTTTTGTCGGTTGGTCTTGATGCAGAACCTGTATATCTGCAAGTGGTTCATTCTGTTACGGTGCCTTTCCATTTATTTCCCTAGGAAAGTGGCACATGGGATAGCTTGATACAAGCTAATATTTTGTTTTGTGCATTATGTGATTATGCTGAATACCCTGTTTTAAAATCACTGCTCTCAATAATCTGGTTCATCGAACTTTTGATTTTCATGATGCCTTCAACCTCTCGATTGTTTAAGATTAGTTGACAATCATTTTCTCATTGCAGGCAACAGGTTGATGATGCTAAACAGGTCTTTGAGGAGAAGACCGAGTCTTGCTCAAGTAATGCTAATAATCTCCCAGAAACAAAGCATATGGATCCATCAGAGGAGAACGTGGACAAAGCTTGTTTAAGCGTCTCGAGAGCTATTGAACCCGTGCCTACAGAGAGCGTTGTTCATCTAGCAGTTGACCAAACCAATCATCAGCAGCCGATTGGAGACAGTGAATGGAGTGATATTCAACCAACAGAATCGAGGATAGCTGATGTAAGAGAGGTTGCACCCGATACAGAAGGGAGCAGCTTGGATATACCCGTTGTCAGTTCACCCGTAAACACACACCAGGAGCAAGGCCCAAACTCCTCTCATCAGCCATAGGTTTTTGATACTGGGAAAGGAGTTAATTTTTAGTAATTGGGAGAGCCATCCATAGGTTAATCCGTGAGTAAATGCGAGCACTTTGATGATCTTTCACCTTGCACCTTTGTATTACATTTGTGATTTGCTATTAGCCTGCTATACATGTGCATATTGTCCTTGTTCTTCCTGGTTTTATTCTTTTTGTCATGCTTAGAGGATAGGAATAAACTGATGATGAACTTTAAAATTTGTGATAAGAATACAGAAGTGTCATCTACGGTCGTCGTTCATGATCGCTGGATTCTGATTTATATTATTCAATCTCCAAAGCTTTTTGGTAGTTAAATGATTCCATTTTTGAAGGTAAATGGAACAATCATAGAATAACATTACTTGCAAAAGTGATAATTGTAATTTTACCATACACCTTGTAGTGTTGTACAAATTGGGGATTTTGAATATATATATATATATATATATATATATATATATATATATATATATATACATACTTGGGTAAATTTATAAATATAAAAATTTTGTCGTAGATTAATTATGAAAATAAGGATATACTAAAAATAATAAAAATTTTGAACCATTCAAAATCAATATATAAAGCTCAAAAATGTCTCTATGTTCTCATATAAATGAGTGTTTTCATTTGAATTTATAACATCGATAATTATGTGAAACTGAATATGTGTACTTTTGTTTTTTACTCAATCGTAGACACTTATATTGAAATTCATATGAAAAAAAGTAGCTAATCAGAGTCCGCCTAATTTGTGAGTACATGTAGTAAAATTCAATACAAAATGGTTGTTCGATGAACAACTGGGGTTCAATGTGATATTTCAAAAACTTCACGGGCTAAATGGCATTTTCCCTTTATTCTTCCCCAAGCAAGCAAAATTCAAGCTTTAAGTCATCATTCCGGATTTTGCCCCTAGGGCTCGGTTATCACTTCTTCCATCAAACTTTAGCTAGTTTCGATCCTTCTTCTCTCAACAGTTGAAGTTGAAGCAATTGTAAGAATGGACGCGACTTTGCTCAACGGATTAGACTCGCCTCACTCGATGGGGACCACCATTATCGGCGTCACCTACAACGGTGGTGTCGTCCTCGGTGCCGATTCTCGTACCAGCACAGGTACTCTTCGCTTCTGAATCTTGACTTGTAAGATTTTGCCTGTGAATTCACTGTAATTTTTAATTTTAATTTATACTTTATGGGAATTGAAATTGAATACAGGAATGTATGTGGCGAATAGGGCATCAGATAAGATCACTAAGCTCACCGACAATGTCTACGTTTGTCGCTCGGGTTCGGTAGGATCATTGTTTTTTCCCTTCTATCTTCTTTGATTTGCAGGCAGAGAACCTAGCTAAACCTATAATTTATGTGTTAATGTGCTATGTGCAAGTTATACCATCACAAGGCACGAATTTTAGGGTAGGAAATTTTTCTTTTAGCTATTGAGGTTGATGTTTCGCTAACAATTGTGTGGAAATTTACTAACAAAGCTATTTTACTGTAAGTGAGGTAGTGGAATGGTAATGCATGATGAAGCACATATTATGATCATAAGAACAATGGTTTATCACTGAGTTAATACTCAAAATGGTCCTCGACTATAGTGATTTTTCTCAATTTCGTCCTAAACGACTTTGGTTACCTAATGTAGTCCAAACTTTTGTATTTTTACTCAATTTAGTCATATGTTTGTTATCAAATTGGTGTTAAATAAAGGGACAATTCAGTAATCTCAATATTGGTCTCTCTTTACTCTTAGCCGGTCTAGGAGTAATTTGTAAAAGAAAGAGAGATTTCGCACTTTGCCCATCTAGGAGTAAAGAGATGCCAATATTGAAATTACTGAATTGTCCCTCTATTTAGCACCAAATGGGCGGAATAACAAATGGAAGACTAAATTGAGCAAAAACACAAAAGTATGAGACTACATTAGGTCACCAAAGTCGTTTAGGACGAAATTGAGAAAAATCATTATAGTCGAGGACCATTTATGATATTAACTCGTTTATCACTAAATGATTTATGAGGGAGTGACTAGATATCAACCAAAAAACGTTCTCCCTAATAGAAGAGCATTCTAACCTTTATATGGCTTCTTCTGACCATAAATACAAGTCATCCAATTGTCTGGCTTGTCTCAAAAGAAAACGGTGAGAGTAGGAGGAATAAGTACGCAAAATGAAGGAATATATGATTGCTTTCAGCTGAATTCAGTGGTTGACATTCTCCTTGTCACACTTCTGTCATCATTCACACTAAAAATGTTATATCCACTTTAAGGCTTGATTCTCAAAATTGTTGGGATATATTCTACCATATGTGATTCTGGAGGCCAACCTGGAAAGTTCAACTGAAAAGAAAATCAAGAGTTCAAAAAAAAAAAAAAACAAAAGATAGGGAAAGATTTTGGTTGAAGAACGAAATCATGTTCCTGTTCAAGGCTATTGTTGATAAATATGATAATGAGAAGTCGAAATCTTTACTATTGTTGCTATTCTGACTAATTGGGTTTTAATATTTTTTTGCTTTGATAGAAGTCGAGTCTGAGTTATTATTGTATATAATTTGTTTACAGGCTGCAGATTCGCAAATTGTTTCAGACTATGTTCGTTACTTTCTCCACCAACACACGTAAGTTGGTTTTACTTGTATTGTGCCATCTCTCTGGGTCCTAATTCTAATGCTATAGAATGATTGCTTAGCTGTCAATTGTGTGAAAATTTTCATTTGACTTAGAAATATACTTTGGGCCTGCATAGTGGATTTTACTCTTTATGGTGCATTCTAATTTTCCTATTATTGAAGTTATTGACTTTGGGCTTAGGACAATATACTATATTGCAGCTTCAAATTTAAATTTAATAGTTTGAGCTTTTCTAATGATCCAGGATACAACTTGGGCAGCCTGCAACTGTCAAGGTTGCTGCAAACCTGGTCAGATTATTAGCCTACAATAACAAGGTCTGGACTGTCAAACATATATATATTCTGTTGTATTTATGTTCCTCCTACTTATGATTCTTATTTTAATGTCAACTATATTTAGAATATGCTACAAACTGGTCTTATTGTTGGTGGGTGGGACAAACACGAAGGTGGCAAAATATATGGGGTGCCCCTTGGAGGCACAGTATTGGAGCAGCCTTTTGCAATTGGAGGTTTGTTTTCCATCTGATAGTACATTGTGTTGCTCTGTGCTCCAAAGTTTTCTTACGTGATAGTAATTGCCAATTGGCTAAGAAAATATTTTATGTTGCATTTGAATCACACAGGATCTGGTTCTTCCTATTTGTATGGCTTCTTTGATCAAGCATGGAAGGAAGGAATGACCCGTGAAGAGGCTGAGGTTTGTACTTGCTATCAATACGATACTAATCTTTAAGGCATGGTTATTCTCTAAGTCTCTAACAATGCTATCTCATCAAATTAGGCATTTTTTTTCCCCATCCATGTATCTGATATCAAAATTTCCTTGCAAGAAGTTAAATACTTAGTTTGTGATAGTTTTCTTTTATTATTTCTGAACTGGGAATTACTGTAGTTTTAGTTCGGCTTTAAATAGTAGTCCATAGTTCCTTGGGTCAAGCTGAGCATGAACTTTTTTCTGATTGCAATTTTAACTCCCATGGCAAGCGCACCAAAGATATCAGGATATGATGATACAAATTACCTAGTAATTTGGAGCTTCAATAGGAACTCTGTATATAGATAGGTTTTAGTTGAGTACTTCAATTCACTAAAACTCCAAATTATGGGAAAACACATGGAATAAATCCTGTATTTTCTTCTTTTCAATAGATGTGGAGCCCGTGTTTTGAAAATTAACAAAGTGTGAGGAAAGAACTTTATGTGGGCATAGTTTGGCTTGTTGATGCACCAATTTGTTTTGTATGTGTGTGAAGAACTTTGTTTTCTTTATTCTACAGAAATTGGTGGTCAAGGCCGTGTCTCTTGCCATTGCTCGGGATGGTGCTAGTGGTGGAGTTGTTCGGACTGTAACTGTGAGTTCTTTCATTATTAGTGTGGTTTATAATGATTGATTTATAACAAAGCCCCATCTGTTGTGTACTGGACATATTGTTTGTGTAAGGCATATCTGATCATGGAGCTTTTAATATTTATTTATTTTTCCTGAATTGCCCTCTCTCAATGTTTTACATTGGATTTCCAGGACAATTGCCAATTGGTTAAAGTCTGAATTACTTAGACTACTAATTAGATGCCCATAAAACTTGATCAAAATAGACACAAGTGAAAGACCACAAACATTTTAATACTTGGTCTGTGGACTTTTGAGGCAAGTACCCCCCCTTCTGTTTGCTATGAGAAAAACATAGATTCCCGGAGTTGCAATACATTTACTTAATCTATGGTACCTTCACCTTTTATGTTTGGGCAATTGTGAGTATTGACCCTGCCTGCTAATTTATATGGGTCAATTTTAGCTCCTTCAACTATACCTTTTGCAATTACTCATTTTGGAAAATGGCAAGGTACCTTTTTTTTTTTTTTTTTTTTTTTTTTTTGCCTCGGCTCTTTCCTGTTCTATAACACCCCAGAAAAGGCGGAGGACGTAATGGTTTATGAGACTGATAATGATCAGCAAGTTATTTTTGCATTACTCCGTAAAAAATGGGTTTTCATCTCTCTTTAATTTGTTGCTTCCAAACTATAGTTTTGTTATTTCCTGCAGATAAACTCAGAAGGCGTTGAAAGGAAATTCTATCCTGGTGACACACTTCCTCTATGGCATGAAGAGATGGAGGCACATAATTCTCTCCTCGATATTTTGCCTTCAACCAGTCCTGAGCCAATGGTTAGTTGAACCAACGCAGGGCATCTCTCGCTAAGGCACACCGGACGCTTTCCTCACTCTATGTTGCCGTAGCCTTGCCGCCCTTAACTTTATTTCCTTTTGGGATCAATAGCTGTCCAAACTGATATTTGTATTCATGTTTCCTACTTCAAAAATCAAAACCACCAGTTTCTGAATGTAACTCTATTTTCACTTTGTGGATTTTATAAGTTGAGTTTTAACATTTGATTAAATGAGTACTATTTAGCTCCGGTATTTGGTTTGCCTACAATTTTAATTGCAATTTGTAATTTGATGGATAATGCAGTTAGATGCCGAACATAATTATGATATCAACACAATTTTTGGTTTATTATGATTATGCTTACATTCTAGATATCAGCAAATCATAACAAGGATCCTGACCTGTTCAACATTTGTATTATTAAAATTAAAAATTCAAACTTTAAATTAAATGTTCACATTAATTAAAATAGATCGGAATTTAAAATTTTATAAAATAAAATAAAGAGAGAGAGATAAAGGAGTAAATTTCCCTCCACTGAGCCTCCGTTCGAAATTCAAAATATCTACAGTGGACTAGCGATCCCCCCTCCCCCGTCACCACCACAGTGACTCCCCACCCCGCTTTCCCCTTCTTCTCTCTTTAAATTCTGTGTATGTGTATATCTGTTTTGTGTATCTGAATTGAATTGTAAGGAATGTGATTAGAAAGGCCATAATGATTGATGATTAATTAGCTATATCCAATTCTTGTCGTAAATCTCCACCCGACCAATGGTCGCCCCCAGGCCCCAGCTGAGCATTTGGTATGTGTTTTTCTAGCATCAGACGAACGCGGCAACTACTCCGATCTCGGCTCAGCGATTACGGCGCTGCTTTCGACTATGGGTTGTTTCTTCGGTTGTTTCCGGTTTGGCCGCGACGGTTCTGCTCCTCCCTCTGATCATGCTTCTCGTCCTCCCTTCGTCTCCAAATCTCTGACCCCTACCGCTGCCGTACGTTTTTTCTTTTTGGGGGTCCAATTCTCTGAAGTATTTTCTTTAGAAATTGTTATGAATGGTTTTATTTACAATTTGAACATTGAAACCGTTTTTTATTTACTTAATTGCGGGATTTGGAAAATCAACTATATGTTCTGTTAATTTGTCTGAACTTCTTCATTACTGCGTTGTTCTGTTGAACGATCAGGAACCTGTTGCCTCAAGCAATCGGAGTCCTCTTTCTTCATTATTTGTTTCTGAAGGTAACTCTTTCTTTTTAAACCCTTTTATGTCAACTTTAGTGATAATGTTAGATACAATTTCATATGTTTAGTCACTAGTTCTTGAAGTTGACTCACTGTGCTAAATCTGATCGTTTTTGCAATTCAATACACAAATTTAGAAAATGATGAAGAGAAAAGTAGTTTGCAATCCAAGGAAGTTGAGAAGCAGGACTGTGGAACTCCAGAGCTCGAGTTTGACGTAAAAGAGCTCAAGGATCAGGTGCCTTACTATACCCTTGTGCATATAGAATCCGAAGCTGCCTTTTTATCATCTCAAAGTTTCGCTTGTACTAGTCAATCATGAAAGCAGCTATTTTCAATAATGTTTGAACATTTCAAATACTCCTTGATGTTTAGGAGATGGAGACTATGGAACTTTTACTATTTTTCGTGCCTTAATTGTCTAATTACGTGTAACAATGTTGTTTGGCAGGCCAAGTTCCTCAAAGCTTGTGGAACCATACCTGAGACCCCTCTTGAAATTCGGAAACTCTCTGAGAAATGCAGGGACTTATCAGCTCACGATGGTGAAGTGGATCCTTTGAAATTCCATTCGTGGCTCCTTGACTCTTCCATTGAGAAGCAAAATCTGGTTTCGCAGCCTGATCAGTCTCCCAAACCTACAAAAGATTGCGAGGATTGGGTAAAAGAATCAGATTCTCCTGTCCATACACCTAGCAGGTAGCATTCTGAACAGCCTAGTAAATGCCTTTCCTAGCTCTAAAGGAATCAGTATTTTGTAATATTACTGAATGTCAGAATGACCTTATATTTTGTTCATCATGAATCCTTGTTTCAGCCTTTAGGTGTGTCATTTTTTTTTTTTTTTTTTTGAATGCCCTCACTTGACTACTTGAGCATTTAATGTCTAGAATTTAACAGATGATCTTGGGATTTAATTTTAGTTCCTGTTCTCTAAGAAGGCATGACAGATACCAATCCATGTTCTTCCTATGTTTCTATCACAGTTCGACACTATCTCTGACGTGTGTTATTGTGTCACTGCAGCTGCATGACTTTTGAAGAGAAGAGTAATAGTCCTACAGTTATATCAGCTTCACCCACAACAGTGCCTCCTAGCACTACATGTAGGCAAAGATCTGTTCGTTTTGACTGTAAGTCCACTAAGTCAGATATGTCTTCAGCCTTGTCAAAAAGTTCTTTTGAAGTTGATAGTCCAAACTCAAAGGCATCTCCCTATCCGACTCCCCTAAAACTAAGTGATGAGATGCAAACACCTGGAACGGTTTTTCCAACACATGTAGACAATTTGGCAAACGGAAGATTTCCTCGCATCAGGTCTCAGTATGTGTATTCCATTTTAAACCCCATAGAGAATGCTTCTCAGATGAAGGAAGTGATAAATGAAGATTCAGAGTCCAGTCAAGATTCTAATTCCAAATTATTGTTCAGTGACATGGGTGAATCTGTTGATCTATCCAGTGAAGCAAACGCTACCTCAGAAATTGGACTCAGAGAATCCTCAACTGAGAACAATTTGAATGTTGAAGCAAGTCTATCTTCTTGGCTTAAACCATCACTCAGACAAAGTAGTACCCAGCCTTTTGGTGGAAGTATTCATCACGGCAAAACACTGGGAGATAGGCCTATCCTTGGAATGGTTGCTGCTCACTGGAATGAAAACGAAACATCTCGTGTCTCGCCTAAATGGTGGGATGGAAATGGAATCCCAAATTCAACTCACAAGTACAAAGAGGTATAGTCTTGTGTTATTGTTTGCCTTTTTCTTTTCCCCGAGCTGGAACCCAGTAATGAGAAACTGATCTTGAAACTTTTACTAGGACCAAAAAGTAAGCTGGCATGCAACACCATTTGAGGAGAGATTGGAGAAGGCATTGTCTGAAGAATCACTCGTCTCACAAAGGTGTGTCATGCTACTCACTCTATTTCTTTACGTTTAATGCAAAACTCAAGCGATCTCTTCTAAACGCTTCCAAGAATGCCATACTAAAAAGTTACTAATTTTTTCATTATGTCTGATAATTGCAGGAAAAGGATGAGTGGTTCACCAATCAGCTTCAACGAAACTGAGGAATCAGATACAGCTCTATCTCAGCTGCATAATGGCAATCAATCTCATCATTCATAGTTTTAAATTTGCTCATTTGTAGCATCATCCCTCCCTGCATTTCAAGTCTGAATTTGTAATTGATGTAAACATGATGTTGGGGAAGTCTTTTTTTTTTTTCTGGTCTTGCATTAATGCAATCAGGAGCTCTCTGGTTTCTTGGCATTGTGATTTTTGTGGGAAACTTTCAGAAGAATGAAGCTGAAGTTGGATTGGTATTGTTTGCTTTAGTTTGTTGTTAGGATTTACAGATTAAATTTACAATATAAATTGATAAATTAAATCTATTCCATATTATATTAATAAAATTTTCCATCTCATTTTAGTATATAGGTTCATTATTAAATAGTAATCACGGGGTAAAAATATTAATAATTTGTGTTGAATTAAATTTTGGTCATCAAAATTTCAATTAGGAGTATGATACTATGATATTAGTAGCATTTCTAATTAAGTTGGTCAGATTATTAACTTGCATACCATGATTTTTTCATCACTCAAAAAAAAGACATAATTTTCTAGTACATACTTAAGAATAATGATTGCGAATTTTTCTCATCACTAGAAAAAAAAAAAAAAAGAATACAAATTTATCTCTTATGTACTATTAGTGGGCTATTATATAGGAATTTAATTTATTCAGGTTATTTTGGCAAAAAAAAAAAGTAATCATCAGTTCATCACTACTAAGGCTGCATTTGCTTAGAGTTAATACCCAAAATCGTCCTCGACTATAGTAGTTTTTTTCAATTTCGTCCTAAACGACTTTGGTGACCTAATATCGTCCCAGACTTTTGTATTTTGCTCAATTTAGTCCCAGATTTTTGTATTTTTGCTCAATTTAGTCCCTCATTTGTTATTCTGTCCATTTGGTGTTAAATAAATAGACAATTCAGTAATTTTAATATTGGCATCTCTTTACTCATAGACATGTGAATTGCGAAATCCTTTTTTTTTTTTACGAATTACTCCTAAAATTGCGAATATAAAATTTGATTTGCAAGTCCGGGAGTAATTCTGGGTGTAATTCGTACAAGAAAGAGAAATTTCGCACTTCACAAGTTGAAAGTAAAGATACATCAATATTGACATTACTGAATTGTCCCTTAATTTAACACCAATTTGACGGAATAACAAATGGAGGACTAAATTGAGCGAAACACAAAAGTCTGGGACGATATTAGGTCACCAAAGTCGTTTAGAACGAAATTGAGAAAAACCACTATAGTCGAGGACGATTTTGGGTATTAACTCCATTTGCTTATGCTGTATTAAACAGTATAAACGACCTCGTTTTATAGCAAACCCTAAAACTCTGTGTATAAAATTAGGGTGTCGAAGGACTTTGATTGTTAACGAGGGTGAAGCTGTTGGAGCTCATAGCAAAGCCGGATTGGTGGCGGAGGGAGGAGAGTGGCGAGATGGAAGCGGCGGATGAAGAAGGAGATGCAGAAATGTGGACAACGAAAACACTGATTAATCATCCCTGTATGAATAATGATGGGATTAGTTTTCAATCTGAATATGATATGCAACCTCCTTCGCTCGCTGCTCCCTCGCCGCCTCCCTCTCCGCCGCAGGAAATGATAGAAGAATCTATCAAAGTGTAGCAACTTTTTCGTTCTGTTCCAAAATTCTCTCTCTCTCTCTCTCTCTCTCTCTCTCTCTCTCTCTCTCTTTGCTCTTTGCTATTGGGAGCTTCAGCAGCTTCGCCTTCGGGACCTGATGATGATTCTCATATCTGAAGGTTCAACTAGCTCCAAATCATTTCTGATTCTTCTTTATATGATATTTCATTGCAATTTTTGATTTTCTTATGATACAGTTGTAGCAGTGTGGAAGTTTAATCTATGATTGCATCGGTGTTGAAAAGTTTGAACAAACATTGCATTTTCATTTACCCTAGAAATTCTCCAATTTATTTTTGAAGAAATGAAAATTTAGGCAAAGAAACTAGGAAACAGGGAGAATTGAAATAATCAAAATTTCATCTATCGTGAACTCGAACATTCAATCTCCTGAGCCAGATCGAGTGAACAATCATGTGAAACAGATCAAATCTCTTGGGAGGTCCGTTGATCACGAAGTGCCTCTGCACCTGCTTAACTCGCCTGTGCATCCTCAGATACTGTCTCTGAGAAATCCCCATCAGAATCGTCTTCAAGTTCTCAATATCTTTAACCTCCACCACCACCGAGAACGCTTTCCAGTTCAGAACATCGCTGAAAGGAGGCACGTACCCGTCCGATATCAACACCGGAACGCATTCCGCGTAGATCGCCTCCACGATTCTCGGGCTGGCCACCTCGTACCCGCTCGGACATAAACAGAACCGGCTGTTTTTCAGCATCGACTCGTAGGAAGGGCCGCCGCCGGGGAGCTCGTCGTACACTAGGATGTCTTCGTCTTTGCCTTTCCACCGGTCTAGGAGAAGCTGCCTAATGTCGCCGTGTAGACCTCCGGCGAAGAAGGCCAGGATGGAGCGCCTGGAGGGGGAGGGCCCGCCGAGGAGGCCGACGATCTCGCCCGTCTTGAGGTTGATTTCCGGTAACGAGACGTCTTTCCGGGGATTGAAGCCCTCGGAGGTATTGGCATTGCATAATACTCTGATGGAGTTGTTGAACAGATTCGGAACGTACGTTGTTGAATACGGCCCCTGCAAACAAACAATATTGCAACTAGTTAAACCAATCTGGTTGTTCATAGTTGAAAAGTTCGAACTAGATTGAGATTGTTCATATATTGCAACTAGATTGTAAAACTCGAGCGACTGAAAGTGATAAAAATGTAGACTACCCAGTCATGGCAAGAGAGCATGAAGTGATCGAGGCCAAGGCTTCGATTCCAGAAGGGATGTGTGGAAGAAATGACGTCAATATAGTCGGCGATGGTGCGGCCGATGGGGTGCATGTTATGGGCGCCGGGGACGTGCAGATACCGAACCATTACCACCACACTGAACGGCAGGAAATACACCGACGCCTCGTCCGGATCTTTAGTTCTGAACAAGTTTCCCTTTTCCATTTGGTGAATGAACCTGCCTTCTGTAGAGTATATGCTCCTGCACGGTCCATTGTGAAAGATTGGAGGCTCCCCTTCTGAGTATACATATATCTTGAACACCTTTTCCATCTCCAAGTAGCTCCTGTTAAACAATAATTGTCAGTTTAAACTTTTAGTTGAGACGAAATATATGTTTCAGTTTGGTATTTTACCTGTGGAAGGCGTTGGCATTGTGATACATGGGGCCTTGGGGAACATAATCAGGGTCATGGTGGGTAGATATCATACTGCCATTTCTAGCAGCTTCTTTAATGGCAGACCTTGCTTTAGCCAAAACGGCTTCCATTCTTTCTCTCTTGCTATACCTCCTAACTGCTACTTCACTTGTACTGTTTCTGTCATACCCTCCTTTCCCCTCCAACTCCTCCTTCCCATTCTTTCCTTCTTCGTCGCCTTCCTATTGTTTCACAAATCAACAAGAAAAAAAAACCATTATTTCTATCCTGAAGAAAGCCCCCAAAAAGTTCAGGCAATCCCAACCAAGTTGATCAGGTTGTTGATTTATAATGATAAGGTTACCAAGTGAAGTAGTCTATTGGCTTTCTTAGTTTGAATCTGTTAATTATAGGTAACATCTAGACTGATTTATCTACTTGTGATCCTTTGCCGGCTAGAGAGTAACAGGGGCATGATAGTGATTATAATGATTGCGGTTTCTATAAAGATAAAGAATTGACCAACTCCAACCAAGATGACATGTTAGACTTAGTAACCACAAAGTTATAAGTTTGATTTCTAATAAAGAAATAACCTATTAGCTTTTGTCCTTTGTCGGCTAGGACAAAACGAGAATTATCCTGTGCATGCTACTGGTAGTGACTCTCTTGGTAGTGATTGTGAGTTTCTCTAAGAAAATAGACAAGCAAATGAAAAGGTGGATGGGCTTACTGCAGGAGAAGGTTGAAGCAGATTCTGGTGATTGAAGGAGCCATTTTGATGCACTGAAGAGCTGCGGTTAGAGGGAGTTGCAGGCTGAGGTATTATTTCTTTTACTATATTGAAACGTTCATCGTCCACCTGCTTAGCATTCAATGCGGCATTGGTGAGGGAAGTAGGATTCAGAATCCCGGCAGTTCTCCACGTGCGGTAGCCGGAAAACAGCGAAAAGGAAGAGGCCGGGCCTGATGAGATGACAGCAAAAGGGATGATGAAAAGCAAGAGAACCGAAACCCAAGTAAAATATGGAGGCCGCCATTGATGAGCCTTTCTTGAAGACCACCACATTATGTTAGGATAATGCATGAGCACTGTTAGTTCTCTGGAAAAGATGATGAGGGAGATTTTATTTGTAGAGTTGAGCGAGTGTGGGAAGATTCATTGCTTGAGCTCCATCTCAAGTTATTCTTTGCTGATGAGCAGTGGTATTCTTGATAGATCACATGTGAAAAGTTCTGTAAATGACCGGGCAGGTATGTATGTAGAAGTGTAGAACCTAGTTCCTGCTTGGGCTTCCATTCACGTACTTTTATAGCTTTATTAGATCACATCTAAAATCTTCTTAAATTTCAAGACTTTGTTGTTCTCTAAACCTAAAGTTATTAATGTTCACAGCATTTTTTAGAGTGATCAGAAAAACCCGCAGTTATTACTAAAAATATGTACTGGTAAACCCTACTTCTATGTAACAATCTGCGACAAACGCAGCAAATCCTATGAAAAAGGTAAATCGAACCAAAAGAAATTATGATGAGTGATGAATTTGACTTGATTAAGAATGTATTAATTAGTCAAAATATTAATTATGTAGTAGTGTAGTTGAAATTAGAAAAGTGAAGAAAAAGATGGGAGTTAAAATAAAGGTGGTCCTGAATAGGTAATGGAGCAAGGACAGAGGCCATGCTATTGGGTGGCTGGTTCTTTATGAATCAAAGTAGGGTTTAAAAGGTTCATTTCCATTTGCCTCCTCGTAGACGGTTTTACTTTGTATAGCCACTCACGAGCCATGTCTGTCCCCTTTGCCCTAAGCATTTCGTTCAACAAGAGATCGAATTGAAGCGTCATTACCAATTCAATTTAATTGCCTTATATTGTTTCTACTTCCAATTATATATACACTTTGTTTCGTCAAATTTCTAAAATTAATATGTGATGATAATTAGTAAAGTTAGTTAGCATTCATGTGGCCATGTGTATTACTTTATCTTTAACTCACATTAATCTCCTGGATTAAGCGAAAGAAAAGATTTTATATGGTTGAAAGGTCTGATCCAACCAAAGTCAAAGACAAGCTCAAGAATTGATCTGAGAAAATCTATGCTTCCAATTAAAGACAATAGTATTAGTATTTGGTAAATATGAATAATAATGTAATAATAAAAAAATATGGTGGCAGACCATCCACCGTAATAAGCTGAGTTGAGAACACCGACACGAGTTCCCGAGAAGTAACTCATCTCAGTCTCTGAGCTCCGTCGCCGTCACGCATGCACCAACTACCAATCACTTCCATCACTGCGCCTCTATGGACAACTTGTACATTTTTTTTTTTTTTGTTTACACTACATTTATCAGTCTAAGAGGTGTTTGGTAAATAGTTATTAGCTGATTGAGATACTGTTGACTAGTTGAATCCTCATGGGCAGTTCAGTTAATTACACGGGTAAAGTTTGGGAACAACAGTGTTGACTAGTTGATAGCATTAGCTAATTGTAGAAAGATGTTTGATAAATTAACCATTAGCTGATAGCTAATTACATGCAAAATGACTTTCTCAAACACCTGACCGAAAAAGCTACTTTGAGTGACTTTTTGAATTTTAGTGTTTTGGAACAATAAGTTGTTACAAAAAAAACTAATTAATCAAACACTTATGTTGGCTGTTTAACAAGTCAAACAACTAATAGTGGTCAAATAAGTCAAAATTTGTTGATAATACACCTGCCTACGAGGTCCATGTACTATATTATTTTGTTCAATTTAGTCCTTATACCTTTATTTTGTGCAATTAATTAAGTACAATAGTTAACGGTGTTAATATTACTGTTAACTTAGGTTACGTGATACTAACATAATTATTGTCACATCATTATATTTATATTCCTACTCATATATTACTTTATAAATATTTAAATTTAATTATTTTTACCATCAATATATTAAATTAATATTACATCTGATGTCAGCATGCTTGTAATTTATAAGTACTTTGACCCCTTTGGGGGTGAAGGGGCGCCCGATAAGCGGGTTGGAATTTAACGACAAATGCTCAAAAAATAGTGACACCCGTGTCTCCAATAGAAATCGAGCTCTCGTCCTACTATGGACGATCAAGATTTTCGATGCGACTCTTGAACTGTTGAACTATTAGTTGTGAATTTAGTATAATTCTATTATTATTATTATTATTATTATTATTATTATTATTATTATTTTGCAAAGAGTACGTATTGACATGAAATTCAATTTGGCCCATATCCGTCCTTTCTTCCCATTTCACATTATTTGGACTTTGATAACTCTATAACCCTGAAAAAGATAGAGGGGGAGAAAACACACCTAGCATCTGATACTAACCATAAGAGATGAGAGAAATGAAATGAGTTTTATGCTAAATTGGATATCTTTTATTAGACAAAATAGGGGGGAAAGATAATATGTCTTATCAATTTATATGTTTAACTGGTGCATGAGTTTCACACGTTCACTACGTGCGTTAGAGTGGTCGTTAGTTAGCAGTGATATAATATAATTACAAACGATTAGGTCAATTATGTGGTACAAATATCATGCCTAAGTGGATGCTAATTAAATGAGATGAAATCGTATGATCGATAGCAATAAATTAGGTTAATCATTTTTGAACTCTCTAGTGAAAGTCCGAAGTATCATATGAACACACACTGATTATTATTTATAAAGAATTGTGTATTTGGACATGCAACTGATCCACTTAACTATGAATATCTATCTTATTTGAATAATTATAGTTATTTATAACGTGTCATGTCAAACAAATACTTTATTGTGATCATCTTTTATTCTAATTTGTTCAAAATAAAAAAATAAAAAATATAATGTGTCTGAGACACAAATTATGTCGTAGACTAAGGTCCACCACTTCATTATAGACTCTGATATAAATTATGTGTTGGAACCGTTGGTAGAAAAAACAAATAATAATAATAAATAAGATTATTATTTTCTGGAAAAACAAGGAAAGAAAAGATGGAGAATTTTGGCTCGTGTTTGGTGTTGGTTTTTTTGCAAGAGTCAAGCGATCACTCTTTCCTTAAAACCTTATTTGCCACCTCCCAAAGATGCTAGGGGCGTTGTGGTCTAGGCTTCCCAGGATAAAACTTGCTAATGATTCAAAGTTTGAGCACTCAAACAAGGAATCCGGCGAGCAAGACAAAGCTATGAACACAGTATGCAAAGAAAGAGTAGAAGCAGAGAGGTTTTGAGACTAAAAAGATGAACTTTCGTGTTCAATTTCTTCTGTGTGTAAAAACTCTACTGCCCAACTCCTCCTTATATAGGGGTGGAGGATTTAAATAGCTTTTATCAGGCACTTAAGGGCACCCCTCCACCTTCCTATAACAGCAGCCTTAAACCTGGGTTTCAATTCAAAAATTAAAAATTAGAATTAACTCAAAAAATTAATTCTGTAACAGTAGAATTGAACACCCAACAGTCACAAAACTACCTACTGGTTTCGGCCACAAGGCCGAACCAAGGAGGTGTAGTTTCGCTTACAGTGGCGTGTTGGAAAATGACAGTGGCCATGTTGTGCCCGCGCACACGAGCTCGGGCTTGAATCAAGCCTTTTCAAGGCTCGTCTAGTTGGACTTTGATATATGATATGATGATTTTGGTATTTGGGGCAATCGTTATGCTATGGACCCGTGTCCAGCATGTTATCTCTTTTTTTTTTTTTTTTTTTTTTAAATAAAAATAAAAATTCAGACCGCTTTATTATAGGAGTATATGTTCATAATTGTAAGTTTATAATGTCAGAGCTCTATGTTCATAATTGCATAACTGTACATTCATAATTCTGTAACTGTACATTCATAATTCAATAACTGTAACTTCATAATTTTCGAAGCTCTACGTTCATAATTTTATCACTATATGTTCATATTGTAAGTTCATAATGTTTAGAGCTCTGTGTTCATAATTTAATAATTGTACATTCATAATTGCATAACTCTACATTCATAATTGCATAAGTGTACATTCATAATTCCGTAATTGTACATTTATAATTCAATAACTGTAAAATCATAATTTTCAAAGCTCAATGTTTACAATTTTAAAGCTCTATGTTCATAATTGTAAGTTCATAATGTCATAGCTCTGTGTTCATAATTTTATAACTTACATTCATAATTTCATAACTGTACATTCATAATTTCATAAACGAATAACGTCGTTAACGGCGTTAACGTCGAGACAAAATTTTCTTTTTCAACTGAAATGACGTGTTTTCCTTGAAAACGACGCTGTTTTGGACTCGTGTCCACAATGCATTGTGGACACGAGTCCACTGCATAATTTGCGTATTTGGGGAGAGTCGGCTCGGCCCAGCCCGCTGAGAGGAATGGGAACAACCTTTGGGCTTTTCTTGTTACGATGAATAAGAAAATATCTCTGGAAAAAAAAAAATGGGAATACTGAAATCGCATTGTAATTTGGTGACTTGCACCTTATCAATTCCCCCCATCTCTCTTCTCCTCTACCAGAGAAGAAATGGCAGCTCTCAATGTCTCTCCACTCTTCAAAACCCTAAACCCCCGGATATCTCACTCCCAGAACCCTCCTAAAACCCCAAATTTTCTTCCCCTCTCGTGCCCTCTTCCCTCTACTCTCCCGTCTCTCATCCCCTGCGCCCTCACTCTCCAAACCCCATCAAGACTTCCTCCGCTGAGAGCCATTGACTCAGCTAGGAGAGGTGGTAATGAAGAAAGAGAGACTATTATGCTTCCTGGCTGCGACTACAACCACTGGCTTATTGTCATGGAGTTCCCCAAAGACCCCGCCCCTACTAGAGAGCAAATGATTGACACTTATCTAGATACCCTTGCCACTGTTCTTGGCAGGTCAATTTTTATTTCTCTTCATTCTTCATATTTTTGCAGTATTATATCTTGTTGGGTCTACTTTTTTTAAAACTGAATTGGCCTTTAAGCATTAGAGTGGAAGTTGAGATATTGGTGTGTTAGTGTGATGGTTGTTTCTATCTAGGGAGAATTTGATGATGCTTGAAGGTTTAGCATTCTTGTAAAATATGATGTCTTTATGCAGATTTTTGGTCCAAATAGTGTGCAGCTAATAAATAATCAAATCAGAAAGTTATTTATAACAAATTGTCAATGGAGGTAGCTTGTTGCTAATTAACTATTTTTGAGTATTAATGGTTTTCATTTCTACTCACAAGAAGAATAAGGACAAGGTTTATGCTGTAATAAACACTGCAACTTCTCGCATTCCCCTGGGTAAAAAAAAGATAGAAACTTTTAAGTTTATTAATTAAAATCAATGGAGTGGATGGTTCTTCAAGGTGGAAAAGATTATGGTCTATCATGGAGTTGGGCTAGTGAGGTTTGCAATGCTGTTGGTGGGTGGGTGGTGACTCTAGTTTAGCAAATGTGTATATTACTAAAATTGGGTTTTTATCAGATCATATTTCTCCAATTTGAGTAGAATTTTGTGTTTCAGTATGGAAGAAGCAAAGAAGAACATGTATGCTTTTAGTACAACCACTTACACGGGATTCCAATGCACTGTATCTGAAGAAACATCTGAGAAGTTTAAGGGTAAGTGGAAGTTCTGTTGTTTATTTCTATTTCTTAAGCTTTTAAAGTTTGATATTCATGTACCCATTTCCTGGATTTTCATATCTATTCCTTTTCTTTGCTTACTTTGTGTAGGATTACCTGGAGTTTTGTGGGTCTTGCCTGATTCTTATATAGATGTCAAGAACAAGGATTATGGAGGTTCGTAAAAAACATTTGATATCCACTCTGGTTGGTATTCAAGATTCAAGAATATTCTATGCTTGATCAATGATTTTTGTCGTGTTTTGTTTCAGGGGATAAGTACATCAATGGAGAGATAATTCCTTGCCAGTACCCTACATACCAACCCAAGCAGGCTAACCGCCCAAAAAGCAAGAGTAAAGCATATGTGAGAAGAAGAGATGGTCCTGCTCCTGCTCCTGAAAGGCGGAGACAGGAAGCCACTCCTGAATCTTCCTCCTAGAACCTTATTGGTATGCTTTGATTCTCTTTTATTGCTTGGTAGGACAAACCCATGCTACCTCTTGTTGAGCATATAACCATTAATGTACAATCCAACTATCAGCTTAGACTTTTAGTTGAGATGAAGCACATGCTTTAATTTGTTATTAGAGCCAGACCAAAGGTCATGGATTCGAATCTCTACGTCACCCGATAAGCGACGACTACGGTCTACGTGTTGCTTGGAACCCACCGCACACGTGAGGGGCGTGTTGAGCATATAACCCACATTGTTGGGGAAAAAGAGCAGAAAGAAAAAGCAACGAGTAAAGAAAAAACATATATCCACATTGTTATGATTGCATCGTGTACACCTTTTACCTGCCTAAGAACTAAATGACTAAAAGTATAAAAGTTTGGCGTCTTTCTTTCAAACATATATTCTCCCCCATCTCCCATTTCATTAACCCAAAGCATTCATCCATTTCTCCTCCACTTTTCTTGCAGGTAGTTATTTTGTGTTTTGGCTAAGAATCAAGTTGCATTCTTGGAAACTGCCAATGTTATCGTCCCGGCTTCAAATTAGGTGTATAGTCTTACAGAGATGCACTGGTGCTGCTTGATTAGAATTTTAATGTAATAGTTCAGTGCAAGGCTGGCTGTTATCTTTTCTGAACACCAGCTTGCTAATTTCACAGTGAGGTTGGAGAAATGAATGGTGTTGTATGAGTACCTAATGGACAAAGGTGTTCTATGATTAAACAACTTGGAACTCATTCCTTGGCAAATTTTGTTTGGTTTTAATCCATACATTTCAA